CTTTTCTGGCAAACTGGGCTCTTGTGTGACGGCCAAAAACGCAATCCAAGCTGCTCCTCGCGCTTCGGAGTCGGCACGGGAGCCGCAACTGGGGTTGAGTCCTCTGGCGTCTTGGCTGACCGGCTAGCTGGCTGTTGCATGGGGGCTGCCCTCAGATCCCCCGCTGAAAGTGACTAACATGTAGTGGGTTAAATGGACATCCCCACTAAACACCAAAAGGCTAAAAAGCTGAGAGGGGATGGCTGGGAGCCACCAATATTGTTTTTTGGAGGGTGCCCATTTTGGGCCGCGCCAACGCGCGCTGTATGGCGCTTTGGAGCGCTCATGGCGGATATAGGGTGCGCATGGCGAGGGTGAAACAAAACAGCACATTTTGGGCAGATTGAAAGGGAAGCCAAAAGGAAACTCAATTTGTGGGGCACAACTTCCTGTCTTGACGGGCCACTCCATGATGTTGCATGACAGGTCAGATTGCTCCAAACTATCCGGTGTCCTTCAAGTGCTCAAGTCGGTCCAGTAGCTTCTGCTGAACTTTCTCAGCAATCTCCTGCCGGCACTTGAAACCTCTCTGCTGATTCGTTGGTACCTGATGGTTGGCACCCTAGGGTTGCTCTTCCCGAGCAAAAGCCCTAACCGTTTGTAAGTCTAATGGAAAGCCCACTTGTTTCCAAGAGCTCCAGAAGGCGGTTTGGTGACACCAATGAGCTATATTCCAAAGAGGGGCGGTGTTTCTTATTGTGTTGTTCTTCTGTTTGATTTATATATATATATATTACAAAGGGTAAGGCAGATGAGGGTTTTCAGAGTAGCGGAAGCTACTACTAACAGCAGGCAACCTCTCTCAACGTGTAAAGTATATGAAGCGGAACGATTGTCTTTAAACGTCATCAGCAATGTGCTCAGAAAACTCTGAGAAGGTCACGCAAGAACCAACCCTGCAACATGCCGACATGCCCAAAGCCATCGATGCGCTCGCTGACATGGTGAATCCCCAGCTCTAAGCTGCTCTAAGCACCAGGCCCTCGCGACGAAGCTCGGTTTCTCAATAGGCCGCTAGAAAATGGGTCGGTTTCCTGGGCTTCCCTTTAAAACCCAGACACAAAAACAAAGCGCAAGGGCAGCCCAGTTTGACAGCCCATCTGCGAGGCTCCTGGGGCTTTCAATGGAAGACCCGACCCGTACATTAGAGACCCCGGAGGTGGTTGGGGGTCTCAAAACCAGGTTGTTTGAAGGTCCGAAATCAATCGCGAGCCTCTGAGTGGGCTCAAAAGCCGCGCCTCCTCCAACCGCGACAATTGTTCTTGTGAAAGCGCTACAACGCTTTCCTGCGCAGGCCCGCAAATGTCTCGAGCTTCGGATTGCTTTGGCGTGTGTCTTTTTGCGAGCATCGTTTCCTTGGTTGAAAGGGAAGCCAACAGGAAAGCCATCATCTTTTGGGCTCCCCCAATTTGGACGAGCCATGTTCTACCCAAACAACGAACATGTCAGTGTTCCTGGATATTTTTGATGGAACTGGGCTGTCCGTATTCTGATTCCCTGCTTACCTCGCGGGCTTCCCAGCCACTAAACCAACCAAACAACCAAAATAACCTATGCCTGGAGTCTCCATGACCCTTAAAAAATGCGGTCGTGACCCAAATTTAAAAGGGTCATGGACCCATTTTTTCAGGGTCATGGAGACGCTAGGTGCCATGAGGCTGAGGAACCGCCAAGACAAGTTGGAACCCCTCAAAGCGAAGGCTCGCAGCATAGACCTCGGGCGGTGTGAGTCGCACTTCGCCCCTCGGTGGAAAACGCGCCAAGCGAAAAGCAGAGCTTCAGGTTTGACCTCAGCCAGGGGAACGGGACCCGACCCATTTTGAAGGCTCTGAGACATGAGACACGTGAGCAACCAAAACCTTCATTCCTCTGGGTCTCCTGAAAAGGGCCAAACCGTGGAATGAATTAAGACAAATAGATAGGCGTGGGTGTGCGCATGTGATACTTCAATTGTGTGTTGTTTGAGGCTCGGCACCCATTTCTTTATGGCTTTTTAAGGCACTCAAAAGGAACGCCGGCTTGTTTTGTTGTCCGATATTTTGAGACCTGTTCGGGAAGCCCCCCCGAGGTCAAACCCATGCTCCCAAAAGTCCCTGAGGCAGCTCCTTCCGCGAATCCCCTAGAAATCGTCAGGCCCAAGCCGTCGGATACACCTAGCAACGGGTCAAATCCCCCTAGAGTGCCACGGACAGCCCAGCCCAATTCTACTTCCTAGTGCCCTTGGTTCTCACCCTTGAAGTCATGTCAATATAAAACCAGCTCACGCAGTTCGGTGCCGACTCCCTCACTCAAACAAAAAACACTTCAAGGCAAACCACACACAGTACGTACCTAAGAACATGCTAGCCGAGGCGGGTAACGCGAAGTGTTTACAATTACCCAAGTAAAACCTCTGGATTCCCGCCGATATTGAGCACAAAAAGAACACCGGCTACCCTAAAATGGCAATGTGTTTTTTTTGGTTTCCCATTCAATACCTACTGAGAGGGGTCGGATTGACCAAATTTGCCTTGACTTCGGTCTTCATTTGGGGGTTTCCCTAACCAAACGAGCCATCCTTCTAGGGGTTGTTTCCCCATTATTTTCAACCATCGTTCTCTTCGAAGACCAGCCGTTCTTTCCCGGGTTTCTGGAGGTTGTCTAGAAAGAAGGATCCCTGGAAAGAACGGGGGAGGTACCCCTAGAACCCTTGGATCTTCCCTTCGATGCCATTGGACTTCAGCCCAAATCCTGCGACGCCGCGCCTCGCTCTTCCGCCGTTGCAAAAGGCTGGCAGTTGAGGCGAGGCTCGTCTCGAGGCACTCCTGTGCCGAGCCGGCTGCGCGAATCCGCGTGGTGGAATGAGGCGGGTTCCCGGAAATTCAAAGGAACCCGTTCGGTTTGGGAAACCTGGCTCAGGAACCACGTTCGGAGGTTCCCTTAACTAGGTCCTCCAGAATTGAGAGGTTAGAAGAAGTTGGTACCCGATCTTTTTTTTTCAGTTTTGGAAAATTCTAGTAGGGGAACCCTCCCAACCAAAGAAGGGGAGAGAAGGGCACCTAGCTGGGGGACCTAGTCAAATTCAAAGGAACCTGTTCGGTTTGGGAAACCTGGCTCAGGAACCGCCTTTGGACACGTGTTCCCGCACCACACAATCGACGCGTTCCCCGCAGTTCTTCTCTCTGATTCCCGCTGCCAATAGAGCGGATGGGCCAAGAAAAAGAAAGCAACAGTTTGGGTCGCTTTCTAAACTGGTCTGCCCAACCACTGAGATGTCCAGGAACTCAGGTGAGTCACTTGCTCAAAACCCGGCATTAAAATGGTCGTACTCGTACTCCCAGAACCATGCTTCAAGAATTAAGAAGGCGGATATCCGCAACTATTTCTGGCTGGGACTGCCCCTTACTAACCTTCATCTACCCGGGTTTTGATTGTGGCTCAGCTGCTGTTGGGAATTTTGACTTTTTGAGGATGTGTCCCGCTTTTCAGGCACCAGGATTCCCAAACTGGAAAGGCAAGGATCTCCATTGAGCCAAAATTGAGCCAAAATATCCATGGTTATCTATATGTAGTATATATGTATTGAATATGTATACAAACCTCCATTTAGAAGACATACAAACCTCCATGGAGCTTGTCTTACCCTCTGCTTCCATCTTTTTCAGCATCCCGTGTACCCCGCCCAAACTTCACCCCGAAAAGCTCTCAACAAAACCTTTCCACAGGTTGAAATTTGGCTTGCGCCAGGAGCTTGTGCCCGCGGATTCCAGTGCAAAGTACCTAACTGGGCGAAGCTTTCAGAAGTCAAAGCATGAATCTGGATGCATACCATCACCCCTTTGAGAAAAAGGCCGACCATCACCAAAGCAGATTTCAGCCCGTTGCAGCCACTGCAAACCCTGGCGCGTGACCAGCGTCAACCGAAAGGAACGAGCAAATCCAATATCCACTCCTCCGCAGCAACAGCTGCAAGTACAAGCAGCGACGGCAACAGCATTGAAGCAAAGCTCCAGCGGTAAGCGTGGTAAGATGATAAGGAGTTCTGATCTACCCATTTTGAGCCGAAAGCCGGTGGTTCACGTATTGTGCAAGTTGGGCTAAAACGTGGGTTGCTACACTATTGAAGCATTGTCTCGACCTTCTACCAGGATGGCCACAAAATAACATTGCGACAACATTATAACCGCGCTTGGTTGCATGTGGACTGATTTAAACAACATAGGCAATGCTGCTGCTACTGATGTCGGCATTGCATCTTACGCTCGTCATGAAAGTGTTTCAGGTGCGTTCATCTCCGATGAACTCTGAAATGGACTAAGGCTTGTTCAAAAGTGCTTGAATCACCATAAACAATCGCTTGTTGGTCTTTAGACTAGACCCACCCAGGTCTGGCTGCATGGGGTTGCATGCCAAATGGAGCTGCCCTGCCCGTGGATCTAGAACATCCTTTCATTCATCTGCAAACTTTAAAATATTCCCAAAACCTGACATAAGGGAAGCCCAAGTCAAGGATCTTTACCGTGGTGAGCTTGTTCTACCGCCGCCGGTGAGCTCGCTATAAAATAGGCAAAATTATTGAGTGGACAGGTCACTGAAGAATCAATACAAGTTGGGCACAAAGGGTCGCGGACCAGGGCATTCCCCGATAGGGCGCTGGAAAAATTCCCACCCGTCGAGTGCGATTTGAAGCGGCAACCCCCCTTCCAGGGTGACAAACGTGTGTGTGTGTGTGTCCCTGCGACACATAGAACTATGGGATGTCAAACAATCAAAGTGATCCAAGCTTCCATTTGCTTACGCCCCCTGGAAAAAAAATAGTGGTCATAGATTCCCTTTAAAACCAACAGGGGAATATATAAACATATTCTTAAACAAATGGAAGCAAGCCAAGGAGTGACTTTGCGGAGAAGCCAGGACCAGCGATTCATCCAGAAGCCTCGGTTACCACTTAGACACTGCCATTGCACAGGGTGCTTCTCTTTCAGCGCAGGACAGCATCAACGCCTCCCTCACGATATGCGTGGGCTCTCTGCTCCTCTTGATCCTGGATCGGAGTTGAAGCTCCGAACCTTTCACCAACCGCACCGCATGAGCTGCAAAACGGGTCCCGATGGCAGAAAATTAACATGGTCTGTGGCCAAACGCACCACGAAGTCTCACTCTGGCAAGGTTCCCTCCGCCCGTTTTCCGCAGCCTCAAAAGACCTCCAGCTTGGTAGGGTTCATACACCCACACCTTCCCAGTTGCCAGGAGGCGAACAAAGGAAGTCCTGAAACTCTTCCCTGATCGATGCTGGGAGTCAAGCAGAAGCAAAGTTGAAGCCATTGAACAAGTTGGCTCCAGCTATCATGCGACGGTCCTCCTGGTATCTGAAGCTCGCCACCATGCCGAAGGATTCGGCCAGGCCTGCAATCTTTGTCACAATGGCTTGGTGACAGGCAAAGGTGGACTCTTTGTCACTAGGTCCTCCAGTAGAGAGGTCAGAGTAAGGGTGCCCTTTTTTCCGTAGTCTATTTTAGTAGGGGAACGCTACCCCGAAAAAGGGTAAAAGGGCACTACTGGGGGGCCTAGGTCATGTGCTTCTCAAATATGCCCAAATGCCCATGAACAACGACTCCATTTAGCATTCATAACCATATACTCCCAGTCAACATGGTTATCTGTCACGAAACAACACAAGGGTAGGAGGCTTCACGTAAGTTTGTAGCAGAGTAATCATGTTCTTGCTTTGGTTGCCAAGTTTGTTCTCCCTGATATACTTCCCTCTCACTGACCCAAATGCTGGTGGCATCTTTCATGTGCAGAGTTGACTTCTTGCAGCCAAATTGGCCCGGCGTTTTTAGTGCCACTCGCTCGCGGCTGAATCAAAGGTTCGGCTACCTTTGATCTGAGGTCTGGTCCTCGTCTCACGCCCCCAGCCAGTCGGCCCTCAGATTCCATGGGAATCCGGCTGCACGAATCCCGGATCTCAGACCTCATCGAGTTAGCTGTCGCCTTCCGGTTGACTTGCGTCTGCGGAGTCCACAATTTGCGGTCAAATCCGCAGTGCTTAGTGCAGGGTACTTCGGTTTATGTGGAAGTCATAGTTCACTGACCGCCTGCCAAAAAGACGAAAAGCTCGACCATGTTTGCTTGGGAACCACAGACCTGCGGGACATCGAAAGCCTCATATCGACGAGCCATTTCACCCGATCCGATTTTGCAGTTGGCCTCCGGCAAAACGGCCGGAGAAGACACACCCGGGTTGCCGCAAACATGGGGCGTGCTGGGCTTCGCTCAAAAAACCTGCAGCTTTCTATAAAAATCGATTCCGGGCCACATTTGGGGCTGTCTTTTAAAGGGGACCCCGGCAAAATGGTGGGTTTCCTTTTGGTTTCTTTTGGTGTCCGGCCTTGTGGGGATTCGTCTGCACGCCAGTGGAGGCACAGGAAATCCGCCCCGTTCAGCAGGTGGAAGTGGACGGCGGGGTCCACTGCCCGGCCAGGCTGCTGGAAGAGATAGGCAAAGCCCAGCTGCCTCGGATTCAATAGACTTCTGCAACCCCAGTGGCGTCGGATTCAATGAACCTCCGAAACAGCCCGAAGGAAACTCATGCGGTGCAAAAAATGTGTTTGTGTTTTTTCTTCTTTATTTTTTTTTGAAAAAGAAGAAGAAGAAGAAGAAGAAGAACAACAAAACAAAACGGAGCTCTGCAACCGTCCGTTGGTTGCAACCGATTTGGGGTCCATCCCCTGAAAACAAGCTCATGCGCTCTTTGCTGTTGTGAGTCTGGAAGAGGTAGACAAAAGGCTCACCTCTATTCAATTTAGATCAAACGGGCCACTGGATTTCTCCTCGCAGAGTTTCAATGACTGTCGTCAGCACCTAGCGGCATAATTCAAGAAGGCATTCAACCTCCTAAAGAACAACTCACATGTATAATATGTTTCGACCTGTGCGAATGACAGCTAGAATCATAGTCAGACAACTGCGACGGCCTGCTGAGTAGCAGTTGTTATCCAAGCCACCCCGAAAAGCACTAAACACGGTACTTGAAACAAATCAACCGCTTTTGCCGCACATTCCCTGCCTATGTCGCGTTTACCTGAGACGATGCAAACCAGAAAAGGGTTTTTGCTTGCATTGGCCCACGCTCATGAGACCTCTGACAAGGAACTGGAGGCACCAAAATGCCAATTCTTTCCTTTTGGTTTCCTTTCAAAGGCCAAAAGCCAGACTGGTCGCTTTTTGTCCGGGGGTTACTCCAGCTTAAACCGCCTGTCGGATTTGCTCGAAAAAAGCCGGGCCAATTCGTGGCCAGCGGCCAGAGAGCCCTCTGAGCCGTGAGCCAATGGGAAGCCTGAGCAATGGGAAATCGCCTGACCCCAACAAGGTTGGTCTCCTTTGCTAGGTCCTCCCGATTTGAGAGGGTAGAATAAGTTGGTACCCGTTGTTTCTTCCTTTTCTTTTCTTTTCTGTAGTCTAGTTTAGTAGGGGAAGCCTCCCCCAAAAAAGGGGAGAGAAGGGCACCTAGCTGGGAAACCTAGTTTAGGCTTCTACAAACTGCACGAAATCGGTACCCGATCCCATCTCTGCAAGACCGACTTTCGGCATCCCTTTCCTGGGCGAGGACGAAACAAAGGGTGTACCTTTTGGGATGCCACTAACAGACCAAGGGGAAACCGAAAGATCAATAGCTCCACTTTGGGCAAGTGAGCTTTCTGTGAAAAATACCTTCCACTCGCTTGTTCCCCTCAAAAAGACATGTGTATATATATATATATATATTTTCCAGCAGTGAATCGATTCCCTTTAAAACCAAGATAATAAAAACGAATGTTCATATTTCAGAGAACGGAAGCATCCATTTGCCAGGGCCAGCGTTGACCCAAGACAAAAACGGTTGCCTCACAAAAATGGCATCTTGCAATATGGTATCTTTTCCAGCAAATGTGAACACAAATATAGTATCTTGTTCAGCCAACGGGAAAAAATCTGGCATCTTTTTCAGTAAATGGATTTGCAAAAAGGGAAGATATTTACATATCTACGCGCTGCTTCCAATCAGCCGGGCCGCATGACGAAGGGCTTCAGCTCCGCATCCAGCAGCCCTCCGATGGCGGCCAAGGTTTTGAGCCGCGATGCAAGCGAGGCGGAATCCTCCTCGCGTGGTTTCCGGCGTTTTCATTGAACCAGCTTTTGATTTTTGTTGGTTCACCCCGCTTATTGTTTTTTTGTTGAAGGAACAGTTGATGATATCCTCTGTTGGATGGCTTTCACGGAACATTCGATAATGCAAGTCCACAATTGGCAGGTTTCAGCTGGAATGGTCCCTTGACGAATACCCCCCTTGAAGACAAAAAGGAGCCGGAGCTGCGTGAATTCCCGACGCTCAACTTGTCGCAGGCATCTCAGAACTTCAGACTTGACGTGCATGCAGAGCATGCAAAAGAAGGAACAAAGGATCACAAATTCTCGCTATTCGGATTGATCCGGCCGTTCTCAGGGGTGGTTCGCCTTAAGGAACTGGCCGCGTTTTTGTGTCTTCGGGCCCTCCGGAATCTGAGGAAGCTACTCGATCAAGGCTTTGCAAACGATATCCGATCCAAATGAGCACAAGGGCCAAGGCCTCACCGAAAACACACCTGACAGAGCCAAGTTCACTTCTTGCTTGGCGAACAAAGCTGCCCGGTTGACAAACTGACCGCGGGCAGCCAAGGCAGCCCGGGGCAACGATTGACGAGTGGCCACCAGTTCAAGCGAGTAGCTTCCAGTCATACGTGCACACACGAGAATATTCAGGCGTAGGTTCGATCTGAACATGTTGTACGTTTCCAAAATCACCCAGGAATACTTGCGCTCAAGGAATACTTGCTCTCAAGGAATACTTGCGCTCAAGGAACACTTGTGCTATGGTTTCCTCTTCGTTCAATTCTTGTCAAGGTGTCACAGACCTTTAAACCGGGTTTCTGCATTTTCGCAACGCCCAAAAAAAACACGAAGGGGCGTAGAGCTCTTGGATCCACGCCATCTCCCTGTCCTTCGGCAGACCGATCTGCACTGCACCCTCCTGCAACAGAACCAGTACCGCATCCTCCGTGAACTTTATCCTCCGCACCTCACGGGGCAATTTTTGCAGCGCGGCGAGCGCAGAAGGAAGGAAGGAAGCTTGATACCCCGCGGCAAGATTATCTACCTGGAGCCTCCATGACCCTTAAAAATGGGGGTCATTACCCAAATCTAAGGGGTCATGGACCCATTTGTTAAGGTCATGGAGACTCTAGGAATGTCTGGGATGCTGAACCTCTTCTCCTGGCTCATGGGATGTTGAGCAACCTCGCTTCGGAGGTGTATTTGGGTGCAGCAAATGCCCTGACCAAATTCAGTCGCCTTAGCTGCCTCCAGCCTCCATGGGACCCCGAATTCATAAGCGTCCCGGTGATACCTCGAGACAACAAATTATGAAGGTGCCATAAGAACGGGGTCCCACATCAAAGGAGACCCCTCCATATAGAAATCAAGGGGTTCTTCTGTTACACGGTTTTCTGGGGAGGTTTTCTAGCCACATTCTAAATTCGCTGTGTTCCCCAAGTAGGTGGAAATTTGGGAGAGCCTATTCTACTGGTAACTCTGCAATTTTGCCAAATGTCATCCCTTGCCAAAAAAAAACAGGACATCTATAGCCTTTCCTTACATTCATTACTCGCGCTTATAAGCTTTCTGAGAATGTTCCTATTATCATATGCCCCCTCACATTGTGAATTCGTAAGATGTCCAGGGTTGGTTGCAAGGGCGACCAAAAGGAAAACCACCATTTCAGGGGTCCAAATTCCCACTTCGACACACCCCAAAATGAGTTTGTGAACCTTTTCCCGCGGGAGGGGGCCTTCCTTCTGGCGTTCCTTGATTTCCCTATCTGCGATGGGCAAGTGAAGAATAGGAAAGCCGCTGCTTCCTTCTGTCCTTCGGGGAGCCTCAAAATGGCTGGGCCGGTTTTCCCAATCGGCTTCCCAAGACAAGAAAAAAGGGCTACACTCCCTCAGACTATCGTGGAGAAGGCCGCTGTACCAAGTCTTCCCAAGTGGGAGCTTCCACATTCGTGAGAGTAATTACGAACTCTAAGTTGCAACATGGTTGGGCTTCAACTTGAAACTCCATCTAGAACTTTAAAAAAACACAAGCGAGCTTCCCGCTCCCAAACGACAACGACATCACGTTTTTTGGCTCGGGATTCGGGTCTGCCTCTGCGGGCTCTGCGCCGTTAATGGCCACCTTCAAGCTGCCCGAAGCCTCGAAGCGGACCTCCGTTTTCGCGGGGCCGGGAACGCGGGGATCGGAGGTGGCTCGTCGTCCTTTCGCAACCTCCCCCCCGGAGTTGTTTTTTTTTTCTCCTCCGCTCTTCGTGCTGTTTAAAATAAAATATAAAAAAAATCCCCCGGTTTTGGGCTCGTCTTGTTTTTGTTCGTTCGTTTTTGAGGACACCATCTTGGAGAGGTTGGTTTCAAGGCAGAAGAGGAAAACATCGGGGGAGTCCAACGGGGGGTGGCTCCTCGTTGTTTGGATGCTGCCTTCACGGCAAAAGAAGAAAACCGACAGCCGTGTTGGGGGCCCAGATCCCTGATTGACACACAATTACACAACTGTTGGCTGAAAGAAGATGACACAATTCAAACCCGGTTTGGTGTCGACATCCTCTGACAGAAAGGGGAGTGTGTCCACTTTCGCCACGTAACTATTTTTGAATGTGAATCCAAACAAAACTTGCTGGTTCGCAGTAGAGAATGTGAGAGATGAATGCGCTTGGGATGTGCAAAGACAAGGCCGAACCATGCTCTGCATAGAAGAAGAAGCTTCAGGAACTCGAGGGAAATCTTACAACTTCGCCTTGCCTCTGAAATTTTGTTGAGTATTCGCAAGTGAGAAAACCCTTGAAGTGTTCGGGGGAAACAATGGTGAAGTCTCCCTTAAAAGCAGGTTCCTCTAGCAATGCTGGTTTGTGAGCAAGGACAAGGGACTTCGAGAAAAAAAGAAGAAAACAAAAAACGACGTTGGATTCCCTGGGACTCTAGGAGATCCTCGCTTCCCTCGCTGGTTTCACGGCTTATGGTGGCATGTTGATCTGCACACAATTTCTCGCGGGCTCGTTGCACCCCCTGCCTCGTCATTGGCGGCGTCCCGGAAGATGACTTGGCCCTGCCCCGAGCTCTGCATCAAAGCGGCCGCCTGCCAAGCGGCGGCTGACGGGCCAGGAACCAACGTGGGTACCCTCCCTCCCACTACTGACACGGGGCATTGTGCAGAGGAAAACCCTCTTCCAGGTCGCCTCCCACTGCTATGTCTGTTGGAGGGAGGGTATGATTTTTCTTTGGGGACCACGTTTGACGTGGTTGCCCATTAACACTCACAGCCACATGCCGCAAAGCTTTTCTGTACTTCTCAAACGAGGGCGGCCCTTCTCTCATTCATCCAGAACTGTTAGATTTTCCTGGTCATCCCTATCATCCTCCTCACCATCCGTAACCCCACGAACCCAACACTTCTCAGCATCCGCATCAGCTTCCCATCCTGGCTATCCTGACCATCGTAAGCGCCCTATGATCCTCCTCCTCCTCCTCCTCCTCCTCCTCATCAGCACCCTCATCCGCAAAGTCACTCTTCTGATCCGCATTGTCCTCCTCCTCCTCCCCCTCCTCGTAATCATCATCACCTCTTCCTCCTCCTCCTCCTCATGATCATGTACAGCTCAGCTTTGCTCATTTGCTCACCAGGAGTGAAACTTTGCGCGTGATCGCGGAGAAAAGAGACTGCGGGGCAGCACAGCAATTTGAGGATGTGCTTCCGAGCGCTCAGGGAAGCTCAAGCTGGAGTTGAGCCAGTGACGTTTGCGGGGCCGAGATGGCAAAGTCCATCCGTCCATCAATCCATCCCTTCGTCCTTGCATCAATCCAGCTGTCCGTCCATCCCTCCATCCCTCCATCCCTCCATCCGTCCATCCGTCCATCCGTCCATCCGCCCACCCAACCCTCCATCAATCCATCTGTCCCTCCATCGATGCCTCCATCTCATCCATCCCTCCATCACTCCATCCCTCCATCCCTCCATCCCATCCGTCCATCCCTTCATCCGTCCAACCCTCCATGAATCCATGCCTGGATCCATCCATGAATCCATCCATGAATCCATCCATGAATCCATCCATGGATCCATCCATGAATCCATCCATCATCCATGAATCCATCCATGAATCCATCCATGAATCCATCCATGAATCCATCCATGAATCCATCCATCCATCGTCGCTTTCATCATCTGCTCATCACCACCATCATCACCACCATCATCCTCATCATCCTCATCATCACCATCAGCATTACCATCATCACCACAATCATCATCACCATCACCATCACCGTCATCACCATCACCATCATCACCATCACCATCATCATCATCATCATCATTGTCATCATAATCATCATTACCTTCATCATCTTCATCATCTTCGTCATCATCAGCATCATCATCATCATCATCATCACCACCATCATCATCATCATCATCATCATCATCATCATCATCATCATCATCATCATCATCATCATCATCATCATCATCGCACTCATCATCATGATCATCATCATCATCATCAGCATCATCTTTATCATCGCACTCATCACGCTTCTCACCAACATCCCTGTCATCATCCTCATCACACTCATCACCCTCATCACCCTTACCCGTGTCTCCGTGTCACCCTCATCACCTTCATGACCCTCATCACTGACCATCCTCACTCATCCTAATCCTCCTCCTTTTCATTGTTGTGGTCATCTTTCTTCATCACCACCTCGGGCAGTGCCATGATCATCCTCACGAGTTGCGGACGCGTTTCACAGCGTCATCATTGAATTCCCCGTATGTGAGATGATCGCTCATGTTCATCGGCCGGGAGGGCACGTGCACGGTGCCAAGTAGTGATGGTCAGGCACTGGGCAAACGGGGTCCCTATCGGTGACGCCAAAACGACAAACCCGCGGATGGCTGCATCCATCCATCCATCCATCCATCCATCCATCCATCCATCCATCCATCCATCCATCCATCCATCCATCCATCCATCCATCCATCCATCCATCCATCCAGGCACTAAGTCACAGACTATGTGGTGACGCTTCACAAGGCTCGACTGACTAACGGCCAACTATGGTGGGGAAAAACAACATGGTTTCGAGAGGCAAAGAAGCAATGCTGGTCTGGACTAAACGAAAGGTTGTTGAGCTTGCGGAGTTCGAGAGCCACACTATGAGAGCTCACCCCTTTTGAACGGCGCGTCTTACGCGGTTGGCCACAGTAATTCAAGACCCATGGAGTTGCCACCAAGTTCATCTGGTCGAGTGTCAACGTGCGTCTTTCGCACCAGTCATGGTATAAAGGGGGCCCAAATTATGTTCACTTCCACTCCAACCGGGCTATGGCCATTGCGGCAAAAAGTTGACACTGGGGTTTTGTACATGTGATGTTTCCTTTTGGTTTCCCTTTTCCATCAACCCTGGCAAGGGTACCAACATGCTTCAGGGGCGGGAAGGGTGGTCCCTCAATTCCATTTATCTACGATTCCCCATAGAAGGGAACATGAAATGGAATTTCAGGGGTCAGACCCTGGCCTAATTCCATTTTTAAGTTGGTGGGGATCTTTTATTCTTGCAAATTTTACTCTAATTACAAGACCCAAAATAAGAATCGGATCCCCAAGTAAAGAACCTTTCTCATGGCTTGAGCGCTCGTACCCCTGGATCGGTGGAACCGCTCGCGTCATAACATAGGCCACCAAGCCCAAAAGAACCAAACGAGCCACCCGCCCTGTAAACTTCCCCTGGCTTGCTTCCATTTGCTGAAGCCCCCCTGGAAAAACAAAAGCATGTCCAGTAGTGAAATCGATTTCCTCCAAAAACCAACAGGGGAAATACGACATATTTCTGTCAGAAAATGGAAGCAACCAGAACCACAGCGCTGCCTTTTGAGGCTGCTGTGGTTGGTTTGGCCCTGTTCGTTGGCTTTGTTGAACCAAAAGAACGTCCCATGGCTCGTGGTCGGCTCCCTGCAATACGAGGTGGCCTCCCTACCTCAACCGAAATTCTCTCCGGAGGTCTCCGGCGGCCTCTGGAGGCACCTCCAGACGTCGCTGCTGCAGCCAGGCCCGGAAGTGCCGTAAAGGCACCGTGGCCTCACACGAAGGGGCGGAAATCCTAGCCAGGCTCGCGTGTGGGGAACTACTTTTTGGCAGTGGCAGGCCCTGACAAAAGAATACGCCGCTAACATTTCTTTCAGGAGGCGCCTGACGAGCTAGAGCTAAAGCTGCTGCTCTCAGCAGCCTGCTTATGAGCAGTGACCTTTTGCTGCAGCAATGGTCACACGGCACTCCTAGGAGCATCGGTCACAAATGTGGAGGGGCATCGGTCGGGCTTGGTTTCCCGAGATGGTGTTGTCTAAGGGGCAGGCTGCTGTCTGTCTGCTTGTCATTTACATCGCTCCCCACAGGTGCTGAACGGCCACAGCGCGCCGCGCAAGTTCTGCGCATACATGTCTTACTACGAGCTTCTTGTCATAGACCTGGCAACTATGGCAGGCAAACCTCCGTCAAACGCCCGCGCAAGACGCGCGCTTTGCGCGAGCCTACGCGGTGTCTGTGACAAGCTCGGTCACACAGCCGTGTGTGACAAGCTCTGTCAGAGCTACTTATCACATCTGTCTGTCAGGCTCTGTCACATCTGTCTGTCAGATCTATCTGTCAGATCTGTCTGTCAGATCTATCTGTCAGATCTGTCTGTCAGATCTGTCTGTTGCATCCGTCTGGAAAAAGACTCTATCACTCACAGACTGTATCACTTCTGGCGGCCAGATCTGTCTATCACATCTGTCTATCACATGCTCTGACCGAAATTTGCCAGGTCAAGTTGGACGCGCTCGTCCACGGTCCACTCTGCCATGACTTCAACCAGATTACAAGGGCCAAAAAAGGCTTTTGCGACAAACAATGTGGCGTTGCAAGTATTTACACTTATAAAGGGGTATCGGTCTTGGGTAGGCCCCAATCGGTTTTCAGTCTTTTGGAGGTTATGAGCTAAGTGATGTCGCGCCGAATACAACCGCAGTCATTCAATAATATTGTCGGGTACTCATATGCCCAGTATGCACAATCATTTAAATTTAGGCGTAGGCATGCCTTCGGGCGACTGGGAGTTTTGGCCGCGGAGCTTGAGAGTTTGCTCGTCCCCAGATCCATGGCTTGAAGCAGTGCGTGGTGTGTAATACTCGCGGGTGCAGTTTATCAAAGGTTTCGGACGCCCCCTAGCTATTGCGCCCCTTTGTTTGGAGTAATAACTGAAAAATGTGTTTGGGCTTGTGCCAAAGGGAAATCAAAAGGACACCGTTGCCAGTTGGATTTATACAAAATCACCGATTTCACTTTGAGAAACCAAAGGCTAAAACCCACGGAGCTGCAAGCCATCTGCACCGATTGGGCCCAAGCGGCGACCACATCCTTGGCGCCGGCGTCCCGTAGCCGCTGGACGGCACGCTGCCTGAGACGTTGCGAAGAGTTGGGCGTGCCTGTTTGGGGGCGACCCGCCCAAAATGGTGGTGGTCCTTTTGGCACCAGTTCAGAGGTAGTTATTTAGGGCATTGTGTTGGAAAATCCGTTCAGGCATCATATTCCACGGTTGCTTTCCTGCTGGCGAAAAGCAAGGAATGTCCTCAGGCAGCAATCCCACATTTGGAGCATGATTCTCGCGGGTTCAGCTTGGAGCAAGCTTGCCATTTCACTGCCAGGTTTTGACACCAATGCATTCCCCCAGCGGCAACTAAGAAAGTTCACCCGGCGGCTTGATGCCCGCCATGTATGAAGATGGAGCTGGAAATCTGCATGGGGGCCATGGCAAACCAAAAGCAATTGTTGCAAAGCCCTCCCGGCCACTTGCATGACTCGAAGGAGGGCATTCGGCCTAGATGATTTGAATGCGGTTGGCGGGGGGTGGTTCTTTCGCCAACTTGCCTCATGCGCATAACAGCAAAGTCCAGATAAGGAAAGTAAAGAACCTACATCATGGGGTTGCTTGTTTTACCCCCAGAATCTGTGGCTCTTCGCCATCAAATAGGATGAAAGTTGATGGCACAACCTCCCCGTACGGGCATTATCATCCTCTTGCTGCTGGACATAAGGACAATCGTGCTAATAATGCCAGCTACTTGCACCTGGTATATGCGGGTGCGTCATCAAAATAGGGCTATACCCCAAAATTGATTTCGGCTTTCCTTTTGAATCCGTTCAAGACAGCATGAAAAAGGGTACCCTCAAAAAAAAACGGACTCATCGTCATTGGGGGTTTGTCCAACACGGTGCCCTAAAAAGGCAAGGGTGTCCGTTTGGTTTTCCTTTAACAACAAACCAAAAGGGCGGCGCTTCCACCATTTTGAGAAACACGCATTTGCCAAATGGTTTCGGCGTTGGTCTCCCTTTAAACAAAACTAGGGGTATCTGCAATAACACATACCGTTCACCCTGGAGGTTACTGTGATTGCTTCACTTTTTGGCCCTCTGGACATCCCAATTTCGGGGCTAAAAACCCCACCAACCACTGCGGTCCCAACTCAAATTCAAATCGCTGCGGCTGGTGGTCTTTCATTTGGTAGCCTCTTTTGGGGCGGCTGTCACTAATTAAGTGGTGTTAAGTAGTTTTGAAGTTGGAAATCCAGACATCCGCCATTGCGGTGTCTTTTTGAGGGCATCTTTTTGGGGCGGTTTTGCAAGGGAAACCCAACACCAAAAATCATGGCCTTTTCAAAAATGACCGAAACACCTGAGCGGATTGGCCACCACAAAAATGGTCCAAACCCACAAGGCGACTAAAGTCCATACACTCAGAAATCAAAAAAAAACCACACACACACACACACACTCATTTGGGTGTGTCTGTTTTTGGGCAAGAATGGCGGGTTTCCATTTGGTGTCCCTTTGAACCAACCGAAAAGGCTCGCCTCAACAAAAAGGCACACTCATTTGGGTATGAATTTTAACTAGGGACCCTTTAGTGGACATCACTTGGGTGGTCATTTCTGTCCAACCGCGTTTCAGAGGGTTCCCAAATAAAAGTTCACAGCCATGAAGTCTAAATTCTGCTGCCGCTGGCAAAAAAAAACCAAGCCCCTTTTAAAGGCGAAGCCTAGATACCTCGAAGTTGGCCTGAAATACCTCGAACATTACTCACTGGCTGAGTGGATGGCCCAAAAACAGTCCAAGCTTTATATTTACGACTAAAATGGTCCAAACCCAAAAAGTTTGAAGTTCATGAACTCAGGAAGTTGGCCACAAGCCGTGTTGGACCCCAAGCCATGTTGGCCCCCAAAATGCCGTCGCTTCGGCTTCGCTCGAGCGGCAGCAGCGCTCTGCCCAGGCCCAGGCCGCGCAGACCTTCCGGAGACTCCGCCGCGAAGTGGAGGGCCCAGATCCGCGCGGCGCCCGCGTCCTCCGGGCGGAAAAGAAAAAACGTCGAGCGATTTCCCCCGAAAAAAATGGAGCAAAACGCCTCCGGGCGGTCCGTTTTCGGAGTTGCAGCTCAAAAAGTGACGGAAAAAAAAACGGGGACACAACCACTAAACCAGCTGAAAGTCTAAAAAGCTAAGGCGGCTAAAAGTGTCACTTCCTTTTTAGTGGGTGAAATTTGGAAACCCAAACACTAAACCACCTAAAAGTCTGCAAAACTAACCCCATCCAAAACAGGTTGAAAGACCGGAAAGCCTGGGATGCAACCGACAAAAAGGGACTTGAAAATGGGTTGAACAAAACACACCCCCAAACGGGACCAAGGTTCCATTTTGCTTTCATGCTTAGATATCCGGTTTAAGTCACTTCCTTGTCTGTCTGGTGTTTTATTTGGTGCGTGAGGCTTGGGGGTAGGCTTGTTGCCAGGGTAAAGGGTTGTTCTTTGAAGGACTTTAGGGTCGGGATTGGCCCAAAAAAAATCAGAACTTGTTATTTATCACTAAAATGGTCTTCCAGTTTGAAGGAACATCTATGGTGGGAAAACAGCATCAAAAACACCAAACAAACGTCACTGAAACTTTCCCGTAAGTTGGATTGTCCTTTCAAAGGCAAAAAATACAAAACCGAAGAATCCAGCTTAAAGGGAGACAGGTCCAAAGAGGGCCCCTGCCAAACTCTATTTGGCAAATGTAGGTTCTCCACATCCGAAAAGCCACCGTTTGGTCTGGTGAAGGAACACCAAAAGGAAGCCCTTGCCATTTGTCAAATCATATGTCTACAGAAACTTCTACAGGAAGTTACACTTGCTTAGGCTAGATTCCCAAAGCCTTCCCAACATAACTTCCTGGATACTATCCTGGAGATGGTTTCTTTCCATTCGTTTTTTGCACCTGACCAAGCCAACTGCATTCTCTTTTGGACTGGCCGGAGGTTACACATTGCCCCCAAGAATCAAAAGCCTAACCTGATAGGGGCCAAATAGCTTGCTGCAGGGAATGACCCGAGCCATCCTTTGTGATATCCCTAAATGGGAAAAACACCTACCAGAACCAAAGTATGGAGTCTGCAAAAACCGAGAACGTATCATGAAAACATGGGTCTGGGGCACATCAGAAAGTATCAACCCCTGTCGCTGGGAAACGACGTAGCATTTGCTTAGCGCATGAAGCTTGACAAGGTTTTTGGAAGACAACATGAGAGCGCCTCACGAGCCTTGCTTAAATTCGGGATCTTAACTTAAGGGAAGCCACGTGGGAAAACAACACGCCCCCACGAAATCGCGACGCAACCATCTTCGCAACCGATTGGCTCAGCACTGTCAAAAAAAGAATTGGTGGCAGTGGCTGTGCCCAGCTCAGGTCTTGACTTGTGCCGAGTTTATGACACGCCTATGTCATGGTACCCGTGGGACTCTTGCAAAGTTCCGGTCCCGCCCCGCGGAATAAAACCACGGTAGAAGCCGCAGCTTGTTGTGTTGGTATGTATGTTGGGGAATCGAAAATCATCGCAGGGTATGTTGGGCGGTGCGAGGAGCGGATTTCGTCCATCTACTGTCAAGCCTGATCGGTGAGGCACTCCGCCCTGGCCTGCCCTGGAGCAAGCTGACACTCTAAATGAACACGCAACGATGAAATCCAAATCCTTGCCTTCCTCTGGATATTGGGACATTTTTCTAGCCGAATGAGAACCCGTCCTGCAAGTCTTTTGCCAAAGACCTGCATATCCTGAACCAACCCCACCCACCCCCAGGGCCGGGGGGGGGAGGGGAGTTTGGAACCTGGAACTGAGCTGTCCTCAGATCCCCTGCAGAAGGTTCAACTTTGAGTGGGTCAAATACGGAAACCCAACCACTAAAAAAGCAGGGATCCTTACATTATACACCTGAACATTGGTGGTGTCCCTTTATGGTGGTGGAAAAAGCCATGTTTCAAAATGTATCTTCTAAGGAGCCCTGACCAACTAAACACCTAAAAGAGAAAAAACATGGGTCCCGGCGGTTGGGAACTGCCGAAAAAAAAACGCAGCAAAGTTTTCGGGATCCAGTCAGACATCTTGATGACCGCCCCCCGCTGGGTTCCCAGCGGTGGGCAGCGGCGTTTCAGTGTCCGCGTCGGTGGCTTGCAGCGCAACCAGCGGCAGCGGCCCATCCTGGTCTGGCGGAATCCATGGCCACCGTGGACCAAAATGGGGAACCACTTGTTCAACCCAAACAAGACACAATCGAAACCAGGTATTAAAATGCTTGACCCAGCATGGGAGGAAATAGGAAGCCGGATTTCCGCAGCTGTTTCTCGCTGGGATTGTCCATTACTAATCTTCATCTACCCGGGTTTTGAGCACGTGGCTCAAATGGTATAAACCTAGCCTCGCAACTTGGGCTTCTTGTTGGCCTGGGGGTCAGTGAGTCACCTGCGCTTTTCCAGTTTTGGAACACCCCAACAAATTCATCACTGGTTTGCATCGGGAGGGAATTGCATGCTGTGACAGAGAATCCCCTTGTGCTAACATGATAGCATCCTTCATCTGAACCCAAACTCACGATCTGCCTGCTTTGCCTTTATTGAATCTACTCTCCTCTCCGTCCTGCGTTGAACCCTAGCGCTGTCCACGTGATACACGATTGAGGCCCGCTCGTGCATGGGGCTTGATTTACCAAGCTGTGCCCGAGGCCTTCCCGTTGAGTTGACATCGTCGACGTTGGCGCGACAATTCCCCAAAAGGCATGCCTTCAAAGATGGGCTGGCACTTCGCATGCCAGCTCCGCTTCGTCGAAGACTCACAATTAACGCCAAGCAAGCAGCTGTTCCCTGCTAATCCCCTCTCCGCAAATTGGACTTCCTTGAGCATACAAGAATGCGCAGATTCCCGAGATTGGGGCGTCTTTTTTCAGGGTGCCTCTTTCTAGTTGGTTTTTGCAGGGAAACCAAAAGGAAAAGCACCATTTTGACCCATCCGATTGGTTTCCTACCATGCGCCCTTCCATTCCGCTTCAAACAACACGTACGCCTCGGTCATGAAGCACAGCGCGAAGGTGCGCGCGTGCGCCGGCGTCATTTGCGACGTGCAGAGCTGCCGAGCCTGAAAATCCGAGTCTCAGAAGGTTTGGGGCAACCTCCAGCCTCCCCCACACGCGAGCGTGTCAAAAACACAGAAAAAGGAACTTAAGACATTGTTTTTCGGGTTTCATGTGAAGCACACGGGATGTTGGTGACATGCTCTCCGCGAAATTCTATGTTAATGAGTGTGTTGGGCCGTGATTGCCTCAAATGAGAGCAAAACTAATGTTGTCTACACATGGAAGTCGAACCATGAGGGAATCCCACTGACAAGTCCAATATGAATGAGCTACCGTTGCAACCTTTTCGAGGTGGTTCAACATCCCGACGGCTTCCACTTGAACAATATGTTCTGTGACATTATTTTGGGCAGCCAATTTGCTGCTTTTGCATTTCCAGATTCATTAATGGATGTTGTCACTATTCCACAGGTGAACGTGGAACCCATCACCGAGGTCTTCTAAAACAAAAATCCATGTCAATTTTCTGTTTCGTACTCTGCGCGTCGGGGAGCAGTGTCCTGTGGGGGTGTTGTGCAAACTGAGGGAGGAGCTGTCCTGACATGAGCCATTTTTGACTGTTCGATTGAACTTTGGGGACTGGGGGGGGGGGGGCTGCGGGCGCCAGTTGGGGGATTCGGAGGTTTGACAGCAGGCACTGACATAGAGCCTGTGCAAGTTGGCCTGGGGTTCTTGGTGTAAAGCATGGTGCTTGGTTGTTGGGTGGACATTTCAAGACAGGCGGGTCTTCCTCATCCCCTTACTCACATTTTTGCTAAAGTGCTGCCACAATGCTGCAATTTCAACATTACAGTGAAATCCGAACTAGACAAGTAATCATCGCACGAGCCAATGGATACAGGGTTATATAACAACGGCAAACAAGCACATGTTGGTGGGGTGTGTGGTGGAACATGTAGGTTTTGGAGGGAGGGCTTAGCTATATGTATGTATACGATATTAAGATATGATATGTATATCAGAATCAATATGATATACCCTCCCACCAATGGAAATTGGAACTTGACAGTGGATCCCTTTTACAAGGACATTGACCTGCAAGACCGCTCCCCCCTGTCAGTTCCATGCTTATTTGTGATATCGGGTATGCAGAACATGTAATCGCGTACAAGTACCGGTTGAATCACCCCACAGGCGTCTTCTGCATTCGCTTCCCCACGCCTTCAACTGCACCGACTAAAGGCATTTTTCCCTCCACACTGCAATGGGCGAACCAAGCTTAGGAGCTTTCTCAGGGCTGCATAGCACGTTGTTTTCTTGATGGTACCCTTTTTGGGTCAGTTTTAAGGGGAAACAAGAGGAACATCACCATTATTTTGTTTTTTGGGGGGGTCCCCCACAAAAAAGACACACCCAAATACTTACATTCCCTTCTGAGGGCCGTTGATAGGCTAGCTGTTTGCAGCCCAATCAAACAGGCACATAAATCTGCATGTCTGGCCAGCAGAAAGCTCGCACTAAACACCTCATTCTCCCACGGGGGGTGCGTATACCATGTGTGTCTATCATAGAATCATAGTACTAGGATCAAACCGCAACTTGTTTTCACACGCGGCTTCCATGAGAGTGCCAAGCAAAAATGCAATCGCGTCGACCAAAAAAATCGGCGAGCCTTCGGGGCTCATTGAGCAAACTACGCAGGCCATGGGCACCCTCTCCGCCCGGTCCAAGTAGCTGACGATGTCAAAAACCAGAAAACCACCCCTTGGACCTGGGCAATTGGAACCTGAAAGCTCCTTGGATATGAACAAAAAACACATTTTTTTGCTGAAGCAAAATGGAGGGAAAACCAAACTGACAGGTTTTCCAAGGTAAGCCTAAAGTTGGTCTGCCAACGTTTTCCCCTTCAGCGCCCCACAGACCCCGCTTTCGGGTCATCAACCCGACCTCCTCGGAACTCAGCTCCATGGTGCGCAGGAAGCCTGGCGATCGCTGCAACCAGTGGTGGAAGGGCTGGGATGGTGAGCGGTGAAGGGCACCACATGGCTGTTTTGTGTCGTTTCGGCGTCTCAAAAGCACGAGTACAAACCGAAACCATGGCCGTCTTTGGCACAAGTGTGCATATGCCTGGCGCAGGTGCCCGGCATGCAACATTAGTTCTTAGTGCTTGGCAACACACCATCAAACACCAAGGGGGATGTTAAATAAGCCCTGCGCGTGCACCATCACCAGCTCACGCCTGCAACATCGCACAAGCACGGGTCTGAAGCCGAAGCCAACACAAGCTGCATCCGGCCGCTGCGTTCCCAACATCACCCTTTGCAGCGGTATAGCCTCACCAGCCTCCTGCCCAGATCCCCTGCCAACATCACACGGGAAGTGCCAAAACACACACACACACACACACACACACACACACACACACACACACACACACACACACACACACACACACACGCGCGCGCGCGCGGCCTAGGGGCATCTGCGTTCGCATCTGAACTTCCGAAACCCGATATCCCAAGCACTGTCTGGCATCCTCAGCGTATGGTGGCTGGCTGTTTGAATGGCCTGCCCGCTGCAAGCATCGGGGCCAACTTGAAAAGCTGCCTCGCCAGCAACTGAAAATTGGAAATCCTTCGCAAGCGATGCAGGCAAAATCGATGCTGCGGACCGTCGGTGTTTGCATGCCAGAGTCCCAAGCTCGTTCCCGAGTCATCAAAAAGCAAGAATGAAATCAAACAAAAAGATAAAGCAGTAAACCAGCAGGCAAACAAGCAAACAAACACAACAAGCGCCATAGGTGTCCTTTCTGGGGAAATAGATGGCCCTGGTAGATGATTAAACCACCAGGTAAACCAGGGCCATCTATTTTCCTAGCAAAACAACCGAAAAGGACACCTATGACAAGCGCCCGCAGGCCAGAAGTCTTGCTTCACCCCGGCCGAATGCGCACCCAGGATCTATCAACACGTTGATTCAAATGTGCGGCGTGGCTTTTGCGAGGGACCCTCCCAATTGATCCACCGGGTTCTGCTTGAATCCGGGGGTGACATCGCCTGACTTGAATATTCAACCTTGTTAAGTAGGTCAGAACCAGGGTTATCAGTGGGAAGGACTTGGTTAGCTTGCCAGTAGGTCTAATTGTCTATCTTATGCAAGTGCCAGCCTGTCTGCGAAAGGGCACCAAATCCGTACCTGACCTTGCGACAGTGCTGCGACTGCCACCAACATTGCAGCTGAAAAGCTTTAAGGCGTCTTTGCTTGGGCTCCGGAGGCATTTTCAGGCGGGGGTATAGGTATTGGGGTACCGGCTTGGAATGGGACTGAACAAAATACCACCAAGCGCCGGTTTTCATCCATCCACACCTCCAAGATTGGCAAGGACTACCGCATGGGCTTTCCACTTGTTGGGGTTGCTGTTTCCACACAGAACGGTCGTCGCGAGCCACCTTGCCCAACAACTGCTGTTGTGCTACACTACTAAACCCTGGGATTCTGGACATTTCAGTGTGGTTCCGTTTTTTTGGGGGCCCACAAAAAAATCAGGTCGGTTCCCTCTAAAACCCCGGGTGGTTCCCCAAAAAAAACAAGAGCCACCCATGGGAAACTAGGTCCTCCAGTAGACAGGTTAGAATAAGGGTACCACCTTTCTTCTGGTTTGTGGGTCCCGAACCCTCCCCAAAAAAAGCACGGTAAAAAGGGCACCTGGCTGAAAGGACCTAGACCACCAGACCCTATAGATTCTTAAAAACCTAAGTGGGGTACATGAAGGTTAGGGAGAGTCCCAACCATGGCCGCGTTTGGGGGGCTTTGCGCGTTTTTTTTCGCCGGCCGGCCTTCGTTGAGCCAGGCCCTCAGCTTCCGCGCCACGCGCCGCTCCAGGCGCTGCGCCGCGAAGTCCGCGGAGAGCGCCGAGCTGCGCAGCGCCGCGCGCCAGCGCAGCGCCGACACCACGCCTGGAGGGTCACAGCCCCGATTGATGCCAAAATGACGCCAAAAGCTCGGCTGCAAAAAGTGAACCACTTTTTGGGGGGGTTAGTGGAAAACCAAATCCTTGATTTCCCGAAAAGTTGAAGTCTAAAGAGCCAACCCAATAGCTGTCAAGAAAGCAGGCACTTCCCGGGCTTCATGGGAACCCCACATTCATAAACCCCTGGTTCAGTTTGATCCGGGGGTGTCCCCTTTTAGTGGGGATTCAGATCACTTCAGGAGTGTCACACCTATTAATAGAAGGGGTTCTACTTAGATCCGGGGGCAACATTCCCTTGGTTTACTTTTAAAACCACCAAAAGGCGGTACCCTCCCATGAGGCGGGGTAACTTGTGCAGCTTTTTCAACCACGCGGTTTTCCAGACGGTTCTCAGGAGGTTGGGCCTTTTTTTCACACAGCTTGGGTGCTGACGTGGGTTCGGCATTTGATCTAGTGCTCAGGCAGGTTTTTGGAGGGGTTCGTGCCAATTTGTTGGGCTGGTTGGAAGGAAAGCCGAAACGATTCGCTGGTTTGTGAACAAAACAAAAGGAGCTTTTTCCCTGACGTTTGATTTGTGCCCCATCGCTTCTTAGCTCTTGGGAACTGCGGGACATTCGGGAAGTCTTGAGGATGTTTTGGGGATTTTGCGCTCGCCGAGGGCTTTGTTTTCGGGAAATAAACCACTGGGGTGACAGTCTACCTTGGGGCCAAATGATGGCAGACTGGAAAACTATGTCCAGTAGCGATAAAATCCCTTTAGAACCAACAGGGGAAAGTATAACATCTTCTTAAGCAAATGGAAGTACTCACTTCCTTAGTGGATTGGCCAGGAAAGTCCGAACTTCTTATTGACGAAACGGTCTTCCCAAGAGCGACTAAAATCCATCAACTCAGGGAGAGTACAGGGGGTGTATACCTTATCTTCCTTTGGGCTGGTTTGGAAACCGAAGGAATGGCCCCACCTTTGCGGTTGCCTTGAGGATCCAGCAAGGGGATGGCAAACAAAAAACGGATGCCCCAAATTGGGAACGTCCACTAGGACGTCGGCCATTAAGAATCATGTCCCCGGTCTCTTTCTGGAAGACCCATCCATTCCATCCTGTGCCATCTTTGAGCCACCCTAAGTGGCCGGAACATGGTCGAAACTGGCAATGATCACGCCATCCGCGGATCCGCTGGACAGACGGGAACTCCAGCTAGATCACTCGCATCGGTCCCATCTCCCTACACGAACCTGGATTTAGAGATACCAAGCATTCCATCAGACCAATTTTTCTAGGCCTTTCATTGTGAATTTAGATCGGCTTGATAGATCTGGATTCAGGTCTGACGCCGTACACACGGTATCAGATCCCCTTCCCTGTACCAACACATACATACACCAAACATCGAGAACTGACCAGGCACAAAGGCCGACCACCACCGAAACCGTTTGGATCTCTTTCAAATGGTGTCGGCGTGTGTTTGACATCACATTCATGTGTAAGAGCCGCCAGGGAATATTTCACTGGCTCCGGGCTTCAGCCAGGCCTTTCGTCTAACAGAGCAGGGTGAACACGACCTGTACGACCATTGTCATTGCCAATTGAGCTACAGTGACTTAACTTCGTTGCCAAGTATAGGGCGGATGTTCAAGCTACCAAGGCAGTTCAAGAATTCCCTGGGCAAAACCAAGGGAACGTAAACTTCAGAAAGTAAGTTACAACGTATTTCCACACAGTTTGGCCCGCTGGCCGGGTTCCGAATGGCTATCTGTCTTTTATCGGGTCCCCCCTTTTTTAGCTTTTGCAGGGGACAGCAACGCAAAACAGTTTCAGGGGGTCCGACCTTTTACTCGCTTCTTGAGTGGATGGGCCAATAACAGTAACCAAACTGTTTTTTAAATGTACCACTGAAATGGCCCAAACCCAAAAAGTCATTAAAGTCCGAAAGGGAACTCGGGGAGTGAGTTTAACAAACAGCATATGAGCTTTTATTCATGGGAGCATCCCCGAAGATGTAAAGCCCTGGCGCGCGCTTCGGATTTCCACATCGCCTTCGCGCGCTCCCAGCATGCGCGGGAGGTTCTGCAACACCTACGAGAGGGGCTCGCGGAAACACGTGTTCTAGGCGGATTTGTGTGCGAGTTTCTCAATAATGAACCCCTTGTTGGATGGGTTTTGCAGGGACACCAACACGAAACCACCCACCTGGAGAGGTTCTGAATTTTGTGTCTGTCTACGTATCTGTGTCTGTCTTGGTGTCCGCGAAGACCCTCCCCCCCCTTGCGTGTCTGTCTGTGTCTCTTTGTGTCTGTCTGTGTCTGTCTACGTATCTGCGTCTGTCTTCCTGTCCGCGAAGACCCTCCCCCCTGCGTGTCTGTCTGTCTCTCTTTGTGTCTGTCTGTGTCTGTCTACGTATCTGCGTCTGTCTTCGTGTCCGCGAAGACCCTCCCCCCCCTTCCTTTCTGTCTGTCTCTCTTTGTGTCTGTCTGTGTCTGTCTACGTATCTGCGTCTGTCTTCGCGTCCGCGAAGACCCTCCCTCTGCGTGTCTGTCTGCGTCTCTTTGCGTCTGTCTGTGTCTGTCTACGTATCTGCGTCTGTCTGTCTACGTATCTGCGTCTGTCTTCCCGTCCGCGAAGACCCTCCCCCCCCTTCCTTTCTGTCTGTCTCTCTTTGTGTCTGTCTGTGTCTGTCTACGTATCTGCGTCTGTCTGTCTACGTATCTGCGTCTGTCTTCCTGTCCGCGAAGACCCTCCCCCCCCCTTCCTTTCTGTCTGTCTCTCTTTGTGTCTGTCTGTGTCTGTCTACGCATCTGCGTCTGTCTTCGTGTCCGCGAACGGGTCTGTGCATGCGTGCTTTCTCTCGCCCCGGGCCGATTGTATGGGGGCGGCGGAACCAGGCCGCAGCCCATTAAATGGACCCGTTGGTGGACATGGGGTTCCGACATCATTTAAGTGGGGAACCACATGTCCACCAACCACTTTTGAGATGTTTCTCCATGCAAGTTCATGGCCATATCGATTTGGAAAATCGAAAGCTGTCACCAATGCATTCTTCTCAACATCAAGTCCAGTTCATGTGCCATGTATTGCCGCTCCAAACATCAAACAAAATAGACAGGAACGGCATCTTGGTTGCCCAAGGTTCAAACAGGTAAGTAAGAAAAAATGACGAGCTCGTAAAGGATCACCGCCCTTCACCGCCAGTGCCTAATACACAACCCTCCTTTCAGCACTGGAACGGATGTTTGCTTCCACTTGCTTTGCTGTCCAGCGCTGCCCAACAGTTGGGGCCCGTCCGACCTTGAGCTTCAGGAATGAACAGGAACATTCAGGGGAGGTAATCGCATAAAAATACAGGATCCTTGGTTCTTGTAGACCTGGAACAGCAACTAACCCAACGATAGAGTGAGCGCCTGATGCATCAGGCAAACTTGAAACTGAGCTTGTCCCAAACATGGACCCTCCTCCGAAAGATAATATACACATGTGTTGTTATAGTACCCAGTTTTTGTTGGACGGTTTTCAATGTAAGAAAGACAAAAAAACATTTTTTGGGAGCCGCCCCATGAGGAGACAAGCCCACGTAGTCGTAGTTCCTATTATCTTCCCCCCACCAAACCAGAAAACCGCAAAATTGCAGTTGATTGCTTCTGCCGAGCAGTACTTCTCATCCACTATCTCGCGCGGTATTCAACGTCCGCACATCTCGGTGTCTGTACCTCAAACGTCCAAGACATCTCACTCCGTATCGCAGACCTCCATTCCTAAACAAAACGTGCTCGAACTCTCTACTCTAAGGAACTAAACTCACTTGAGTGACAATCAAAACCTGGTATTAAAATGGTCGACCCAGAACCATGTATAATATAATATATAATTAAGAAGGCGGACGAAACTATTTATGGTTGGGACTGTCCCTTACTAACCTTCTCTTTCCCGGGTTTTGATTGTAACTCACTTGCGCGAGAGCGCAGCCAAACGACGCCAAACCGTCATAAAATTGCTATCACCTGCACAAATGGCCGAACCATCACACCCTTCGGGTGTCAATTGGGATGTAAGATCAAGACCACTGTTCAATTGGGGCGATAAGGAGTCCCTGGCAGGTGTGAATTTGCATGATGTGGCGTCCGGACTCATGCCGAGAGATAGCCTGAAGCCACCTAAGGTGAACACAGCGATGCACAAAGTTTTTCAGCCCCCGCCTCCTCCGTGGCCGTGGGCTCCGCGGGCAGCACGTGGTCCAGCAGCCCCGGCGCCAGCCGGCCGCCCCGCGGCAGCGCCCTCGCGGCGGCTGAAGACGTCGAAAAGACGTCTAAGCCCAGCAAAAGGTGTGCAACCAGGGGATCAAACGCTAGATGCTTCTCCCATTTCCAAAACACATGGGGGCTGATCAAAAGGTCCCTTACATGGGATGGCCATTCGAAAAACCACCAACTTACATGACATTCACCAAATGGAAAAACAATACCCATGGTCATTCCGGGGCAAGAGATGGAATATTGATCACACAGACCCCACATGGGCCAACATTCGCGTCTTCCACATGCCCCACCCTCACCCCGTCCCATCCCAAAGGCGTTTATCGCGGCGGATTTGTAATGTGCCCTTTACCTCCACGGGCTAACTCTTGAGTCTTCCACCGAAGGCACTGTGCCAGCTGCTCCAGCTGCATCCTTTCCTCCTCCTGCGCCTGAAGGTGCCAAAAGCCTTCACCGCCAGCGTCCACTGCCGCCACAAGCTGCCGAAAGCTGGCCTCTCCCAGATCGGTCCATCCGGAGATTTCCGAGACCCGAAAAAAGGCGGCAAGCCCCCAGTCAGGTGGGTCTTCTTTAATGGGACCCCAGGAACATGGTGGTCGTTTGGTGTCCCTGTAAACCAACCCCAAACAAGGGGACCTAGAAGGAAAGACCCAGGTTGGGGCCCCGAACCTGAAAATGGTGCCCTGAAAATCGCATTCTGGGACTGCAAGTCACAAAGGAAATCTTCGGGTGTCGGCCCAACTGGAGGCGCCACTGGCTTTGGTGTGGGGTAAACATGAAACCCAATCTTACAACTCCATGGCTTGCATAAAGCCGACATCTGTCTATGCACAATGAATAGGCCCACCTGAGCGCCCGCAAGCAAATTACAAGTTGCGAATGGCCACGTACTGAAACATTCCGATCTTGTGCAATGTCTTACGTCGCAACACTGCCTGGGGTTCTCTAGGACAAGGGGCTAGGTTTGGTACTGCGCAATTTCAGCATGGCCGCAGTGTCCATTGCTCGAAGTAGCTATTGTGACAGTTAGGAATAGTTTAAGCTTTAAACAAAATCTATCTGCCACTTGTACATCAACATGTTCACGGCAGCTCGATTCTGTGATGGAAACTATCCAACAAGAAGTACCAACTCCAAAAAAAGACACGCAAGGACCTGAGAGCAGTGAGCCCTAACTGGTTCTCCTTTCGGCTTCCCCCAGCAAGTTAAAAAAGGTAATGTTGACCCGGATTAATACACAGCTTGTCGAACTGGGGGGTGTTCCCCTCCAACAGTGGTCTGAATCCCCGCTAAACCCCCCACGGACACCCCCTATGAAAAAACTGGGGTTTATGAATCGTAAGCTGACAAACCAGCTGCAAATTGCAGAAACCAACCATGTCAACCGGTATCTCGTTTTTGGAGGCCCATTCTTGGGGTTTCAACTGGGGACAAGGCGCACATGTCCGTGACTTTGATAACCTGAATCTTTCCCATTGGTTTGCTAGTGACATGTCATAAAACCGTGACATACACATGGTCACATTTTGGGTTGAAGTGCAAAGTGCAAAGTGGTTGAGTTTGTGTGTGTGTGAGTCTTGAGTGGGTAATGTTGACACCCTGCCATCTTTGATAGCCGAAAAACAAACCCGCGCGTATTCCCGAGCATGCCATAGTTTGGCTCGATACCCCACTCATGCGAATAAATATCATGCTCTCACACGGTTCTCTTTTCCCGACATGCACGAAAACGGCCTGGTGGATCGCAAAAGAATCGCTTCAAATGGAAAAGAAGCGCCTCAACTGGGTTGGATGTGTCGCGGTTCCCTCACAAGCTGCTTTCGTAGACGTCACGAAGCCATTAATTTGCCAACATGTCGCCATCAGTCAAGTCATACTCGCAGTATCTTCTGAATGCTGTCTGGGGCGGGGCAATAGCCAGCAAACATGGTTCATTTCGGTTTCAGGATGAGCGGCAATCGTAGAATTGGGCCGTATCACGTTTCCTGCGTACATCCAAATTTGCGCATGGCACAACATAGGAACAATTCTTCGTGTTGCGCTCGAGATCAGCGGCAAATGCCTAACTTAGTTGGGGAACATTCCATCATTCCACCCTACTGAAAGTCCACCAGCAACGTATCTAGGGGTACCTTCCAATTCCATTCTTTCCAGGGATCCGGATCTTTCTGGAAAACCTCCGGAAACCCAGGAAAAAAATGGCATGGCGATCGGTTTTTGCAAAGAACGATGGTTGAAACGAATGGGAAAAAGGAATCAACCCCTAGAAAATGGCAGGTTCCCTACTTGCGGAGCATCACTACGGTCATAAACGTTGCCTTCAGGTCTTAAAGTATCTGAGTTGAGTTTAACAGACAAAACAAATGGGTACGCACTCCGGTTTCCGGCTTTTTGGCTGTGTCTCCAAATGAGTCATAATCAAAACCCGGTATTAAAATGGTCATATTCCCAGAACCATGCTTAAGAATTAAGAAGGCAGACTTCCGCAGCTATTTCTGGTTGGGATTATCCCTTACCAACCTTCATCTACCCTGGTTTTGATCGTGGCTCAAATGAAAACCCAAAACAAAATAACGGGTGCTCCTTCTGTTGCTATCTCTTATGGGCATGGGTCAAAATTCGACCACCCAGGGCCTGCAGATTTTAGTCCATGTTTCCATTTACCAGGGTTCCATTTTGGGGTTACCCTATTTTCGACCCACAGCCACACTTCTTCTCATAAGCTTCGCCAGAATCAGCCCGAGCTCGCGCGCGTTGACCTGACGGGATCGGCGTTGCCTGGCTGCCGCCCTTGGCCGCCCTCATCATGGCCTGGCGGGAGGAATTTCCACGGCGCTGCGAAGCTCGGCGGAAACATGCGACTGTACTCGTCCATTCGCTTCTTCCTTGCCCCGATGCAAACCCAAACGCACAAATGTCCAGCGATAGATTCCCTTCAAAGCCAAAAAACACATAACAGAGTATTCTATTTCGGCCACTGGAAGTACCTCGTTTGGTATATTAAGTATACTTATCAACACCACAACCTAGCGAATCACACTTTTCGATCCAGGATCCGTCAACATGCGCCTGCAGCAACATGGCCATGGGTCAAAAGCCCTACCCCCAGTGAACATCCCAATCCCCACTAAAATCCCCGACTAAAATGGGTGCAGCACCTACCCCAAAACGGGATCCCAAAACGGTTTTGACAACCACAGCCACATGGGCCTTGCAGCACGTGCTTTCCACCGAAGGGGGAAAAAAAACACATCGCGCCTCGGAAGCCTCCGAGGCGCAGAAGTGCCTGGCATCAGAGACCCTCACTCGAAGAAATCCCCATCCAGGGCCGAGGGGAGTGGCCAAAGGTGACCGAAGCTTTAGGGTTCGCCGCTACAATGGTTCCAACCTCCAAGAGCTTCAAGTCCTTGAGTGAGCTGACTTCTAGGCACTTCCTTAAAGACGATGTGTCACCGTCCACACAAAGGGGGGGGCTTTCATGTTGGTTTCTTGGACATCCATCCTTGTGCAAGAACAGAACTTGAGCCACCGATGTCAGGAGCTTGAGCCTTGTGCCGAAAAAAAAAGCTCGCAGCATCGCCCGCTCCAGATTTGCTTGCGGAAGCTGTGAGTCCCTGCAAGGCAGTTCGCACAACTCCCTCCCCCCTTCCGATCCATTGGTGAGTGCAACCTAAAGGCACAGCTAGGCCCAAGCCTTGAAACGAGAGAGAAAGAGAGACAGACAGACAAGAGAGAGAGAGAGAGAGAGAGAGAGAGACGGAGAGGAGACAGAGAGAGACAGAGAGAGGCAGAGAGACAGAGAGAGACAGAGAGAGACAGAGAGAGACAGAGAGAGACAGAGAGAGACAGAGAGAGACAGAGAGAGACAGAGAGAGACAGAGAGAGACAGAGAGAGACAGAGAGAGACAGAGAGAGACAGAGAGAGACAGAGAGAGAGACTTGCGACAGCAACCCATCAGCAGGCGACACCAACCCATCAGCAGGGTTACTAGCCCCGGCTGTGTACTGGCCCCGGCTCAGCGCAAGGTCTACCCTAAGGCCACTGCAAATCGATCCGCACACCAAGCGCAAATCAGCTCCACCTTTGCCAGCCTAAATGAACCCCAAACAAACCCAAGACCCGCCCCCCCTCCAAGATCTCAGCAAGCCCAAAACTTACCCGAAACCAGCCCAGAGCAACTCTCAACTGCCACCAAAACAAAGCCAATAGGCACGCGAGGCAGGTGACGAAGGGGATGCAGCCAACCAACCCCAACCAACCAACCAACCAAGCAAGCAACCAAGCAAGCAAGCAAGCAAGCAAGCAAACAAACAAGCAACCAAGCAACCAAGCAGCCACCAATCAACTGACCAACCAACTGGCCAACCGTCCAAGCAACCACCCAAGCAACCAAGCAACCAAGGAACCAAGCAGCCAAGCAAAGAAGCAACCAAGCAACCAAGCAACCAACCAACCAAGCAACCAAGCAACCAACCAACCAACCAAGCAAGCAAGCAACCGGGGGCTAGTAAATTTACCCAGCGCGCAGCCGCGGTCAAACTTACGATTGGAATACAGTATTGGACAAGGGAACATTCGAGTCCCCTGGCCGGGGGGGGGGGGGAGCCTCGAGTTTCTAATAAGCGCCCGCCCAAAATGGACCATCTGTTGGATATGTTGCGGGGGGGGGGGTTCTCGACATGCCGCACCTACCATCCAAAGGACTCAGAGGATTCTCATCCCTGCTCGTTACATTGTTGCAGGAGTATGATGGAACAACCGAGCAAACAAAGGAATACTCAGAATCAGTGTCCTTGCTTGCCTCGAAAAATTAAATCAAAGTACAACAACAAACCAACAAACCAACAGTCGTGACATCAGGAGACTATCTGTCTCAAAATCTGTAACACATCACCAGCAAACACTACCTCAAATCACATGGTTTGCCTGTTTGCCGGTTGAAGCAACTTACAGTGCGCATTTGTGCTTGAAACATGTGTGCCAAGTGGTTATCAACTCACTGCACCTCATGTATGCTCTGCTTATCATAAGTTGAAACATGGTAAAACCTAATTCATCAGCTAATCCCCAACACATGATTAGCAAGCCCTGCAACATGGAAGGGTGGCTTCGATTCTCCCCCCCCTGTTGAAGCTGGATTTCCGGATGTTGCGAACCGTTTGAGCAGCGACTGCAACCGCTTGGGACCCTTCAAACCGCCCGGCTTGGCGTCCAGGTCCTCCAGTAGAGAGCTTAGAATAAGTTGGTACCAACATTTTTTCTGGTTTGTCTATTTTAGTAGGGGAACCGAATCTCCCCCCAAAAAAGACACGGTAAAAGTGGGCACTACAGTACTGGAAGACCTAGATACCCACCACCTTCTCATCCGCGCCTTCCCTTGGCCCAGCCTGGCTCTCGCTCTGGAGAACAGCTTTCGCGCCAGGGCCGCCATGGCAGTTGCGCCGAGCCGGGGGAAGGGAAACTGGAGCTGACGAGCTGACGGCTCCAAGGAATTGGGTCATGGAGTCAGAGAGGACTGGGAGTCACCCAGATGAACACACGATGCGGATCCCACTTGGTGCATTTCAGGCTCTCATCTTGTGCGGGTTTCTATTGGCCACATGCGCCAGTTCAGCGGCAAGCTGGCGACACTTGTCTTGAGCCAAGGGACTCTTTGACAGACTCAAGCTGGAACCTCATGATAGTTACGTCACTTTCGCTTGCCTCGGCGGTCAGAATGTGCCAAGGGACAGAGATCAGCGAAGCGAAACAAACGCAGAGACCTTTGGGGATCCAAAATTGGCTTTCCAGCCTCAGTCTCTTTGACCAACTTGCCATGCACTGTCTGTGATATGATCGAAGCAATCGACAATGCTGGAGCAGTCATGAAACACCCGCTTGAAATTTGAACGTTGGATGCTTTCAGGCGCTCTTATTGATGGTGTGTACTAATCCCATGAAAGTCAGTCCCCAGATCCTGGTACGGAAAAGGGCCTCTGATAGTGGCAAAGCTTCTTATTTTAGCATCTCGGAGGAAAGCGCAGCGTGACACCACACTGACTATGGAAAAAGCCTGAATGTCTCTGCTGCCGCCGCACCTGACTCGAACAAAAGCAAATGAAAGGACTGCCGTCAGCCTACCTTCATCCGAAGGGCCTAACTGTCCTGAATCAACAGCACTTCTTTGTATGCTCGTCTGTTGTTGCTTTTGCAAACTGTTGCTCGTAGCTTTGGGAACTTGCTGCATGACCCAAAGATGGAACCAGTTAGTCGAGGACCACAAATGGGACTGTTTCCAGGCCTGCACATTGCCACCCTGGTAATGCAACACAATCAGAGCTGACGTATCGAGAAGCCATTGACCCCCTTGAGCTGACATTAGAAGTCGCCAAACAAGTGATGAGCAAAAGCTCCAAGCATGCGCCACTTGATTCGTGATCCCACTCTTTCCCATGTTGCTCTGTGACCGCTTCAATACAGTCAAGCTGAATCTGCAAAATCAAGCCCCGCTCAGCTCCGGAAACTGCCTGTCTGATTTTTCGTAGATTGACCAAAAGCGAATAGGAATCGCAGAGTCGTGCGCTCGTTGGCCTAATTCCCGACACCTGCACCAAACAGGGAGCAAAGTGGCAAAACCACATTCATGTGACCTTAACGCAAACCCCGTACCTCTGACAACGAGCAGTTGGCAGCCAACTTTTTGCGAACCGGCAGGTCATGTACGGATAGGGCTTTGCGTACACGTACGATGATCAAAAGCCACTGGGCAGTGCCAACATGATGATACGTGGTCCGCTAGCTTGGAACACGCATCAATTTGTTAGACATAAAGGGAAACAAGTCAAATGTCCAGTTCACCTGCTTCACTGTGGTCAGTCAACAGTGCAATGTCTGGTGCAAAGGGTCGCATCACGTCTGCCCATTGGTTTGTCAAACACAGCTCCAGCACCTCACTCGCCTCGCCTGCCAAACCATCTTTGCCGCGGAAGATTTTCGCTGGAACGGGCCACAGCACTTGCAGCCCCCAGATTTAGCTGCAAGCTTGGAGCCGAGAGCCGACTGCAGTGAGTGGCAAAGCAGCAAAGCCAATGTTGCCGAGACTTAGCGTATCAAGAGCCAACATGGCCAACTTCAGGGTGGTTGGTCGGTCGGCGCGTTCGCGTGTCAACACACATTGAGTTTGAACACCTCGCCCATTGGACGAGATCTTTGGATCTTTCTTGCTATTTTGGTTGTTTTCAAGGAAAACCCACAGGGAAAACCGCCATTTTCTAGGTGGTTGCACAGGAGTCTGCAAGCAGCTGGCAGGAAGAAACTGGCTTTCCATGCGATGGCCAACTTCACGGACTGCATAAGGCCCTTGCAAGTTGAGTCGCGAGTTGGTCGGTATGTTCGCGTGTCAAACCTGGGCTGCTCTCGGATCCCCCGCTAAAAGTTTAACCTTTAGTGGCTTAAATGGAAACTACCACTGAACACTACAAGGCTAAAAAGCGAAGGAACCGGATGGCTGGGAGCCACCAAGAAAACCAATGAGTGTCAACCGCCCCTCCAAGCTGATTGGACAAGACCCTTGGTTTTTAAACCAGGTCACCAGCTCGCGATCTTCCAAGCCGCTTCCGGCACCGTCTCCGTTTGACAGTCCGCAGGCTGTGCGACAGCTCAAGGAACCGAAGGAATCGGAAGGAAAGGCTCCGGGTGATCAAGTTTTCGCTGGGAGAGGTACGCATTCCACAAAACTCACGCTGGAAAAGGTCCGTATCTGAAGATTGATGCAAAAGAATCTCCTTAGACTTCCGGGTAGCAGGACATGTTAGGGACTTTCAATGGCGTGTCAATTGAAGGCAGCCCATGGCGTTGCGGCTTGATGCAAAGCTGAAGCATGACCAAGCGCTTGCCCAAGGTGCATCACGGGGGCTGCCCTTCCCGCTCAGCCCAGCAACACATTCATGAGGGGAGCATGAGACATATCGAGCCCTGCGCGCTGCGAATTGGAAGTTGTTCTCAATTCCTGGAACTCGTTGGGTGCAAAACAGCAGCACGTTGCCTGACTTGGGACCTGGGCTTTGGGGTTCTGCACCGTAGCAGCTGCTTGGCCCGAGTGCAAATCTTTAGTTCCAATTGCCTTACTACGGACTTAGCTTGGCAGATAAATCCACGTTGTAGCTGATGTCAGTCACAAGCTTCAAGTACCTCGTGTTGCGTGTTTGCTTTAGGTCCTACACCGAAGCCTGCCCCATGTGAGGACGGCTCTCCAAAGGGGGTGCATGTGCGAGCAAACGAGGCAAGGTAGGCTGTGCATGGGGCAAGGCCGCCCGCTGCGACACTCTCCGACCCATCACAACACAGAGCAAGGCTGGCTGCAGTTGAAGCTATGAGCGTTTAAGCTGCGGTTCATGGCTGTGTTGCAATCATCAGCGGTCCACTGGAACCGACTTGCCAGCTTGCCGTCTTCGGGCTTGAGCTATGCCTTGACCTCTGGGCGGGATGGTGTGCCGCAGCCAAGTGCCTTGCCGAGCTGGACATCTACGAATGGCCGTCAAAGCCGAAGCATGACCAAGCACCTTGTCAGAGGTGCACCAGGCTTATGTGGCTGTCCAAAGGAGGTGCAATAGTTCCTTTCACGTGCGCAAGGCTGCAAGCTAGGCTGTGCATGGGGAAGTTGCAGATCGTCGGCTCCATTGCGACACTCTCCAACCAATCACAACACAGAGCAAGACTGGCTCAAGCCTGAGCTATGAGCATTTAAGCTGCGTTTTACGCATCTAGCTCCTAAGCTCCTACCTGCTTGTTGTTCAATCACCAACGATGGTTGTCCAGGGAGCCTACTTGGCACACAGCTTGCCATCTTTGAACTTCTGAAGATTGCACGACGTCTCGGCATCTATCAGGCGAGCAGGGCTACAACGCCTGACGCCAGCAGACCATGTACAAAAACGCTTTACTCGTCGACCAATGGCGCTACATGCTGAATTAGATAACTACTCAGCGTGGCACAACGCAGAAGGGACCTGGCCCCAAGCTACTAAGAAGCTTCATGTCAGCTCTGACAACACTCTCTCTACCTCCGACCGGTTCCTGAGAAATTTCAAAGCAACTGCCGCTCAAACCTGCCTTGCCAAGCACACCACGCTGTGTGAGCGGGGTACTGCAATAGCTGAACGCCTGGAATTCACGTTTGAATTTCATGTGCCGGCTTCATTCAAGGGCCGGTCAACGAACGCCATGAAAGGAACGCCTGACTCGACCAAACTGCCATCACGCGCTTCCAGCTGCAACCAACGCCTCGTCGCTGAAGCCACGCTGACGGAGGGCCGCTTCGGCCTTCTCCCAACGGCCCAGGCTCATCTGCCATTGTGAGGTGAGAGGCCGAGCGTCGTGCGGTCGAACTGCGCCAGCTGGACACAGCCACAAACCCTGGGAGCATTTCAAATGCGAACAATGCGCTTCGCGCGCAGGAAAGGCATCAGCTAACTGGAGCATCTAGCTGAAAAGCAAGCACTGACAAAGTTATCAACTCCAATGGTGCTAGCTGCGCAATTAGATACTGACCGGGCCCTGAGCTTCTAAGAAGCTTCATGTCAGCTCTGAGACTACTCGCTTTGCTTCCGACCGTTTCCTAAGCACCGGCGGAGTAACTGACGCGCAAAACTGCCTTGCCAAGGAACCACTGTGCCAGCTGTGTGAGGGGGGGCACTGCATCTCTAACTGCAAAAGGGGCAACGACCAATCAACGCTTCAGCGCTTACGGTACCCCTGAGTGCCCCGGTACTGAAAGAGCTGCCGAACCTCGGGGACGTCAGGGGAGCCTTACAGGAGCTTTCGAAGGCAGGGAGCTTCGCGACTCAGTCCCAGTCTGGGTGAATAATATTTCACCAACCTGAAACTTGCGGTGCTTTGGGGGCTATTCCCCACATAAGCCACCATTTGGGGTGAATTCGGTCGTGTGAGGTCGTTATAATTCGCCCAGATCAGTGTCCCTTGGATTTCCGACTCAACCTAAGTCCACAACCTGCTCGACAAGAGACCTGACAAACTACACGTGGCGCAGAAGCAAACTCAACTGCCCAGTGGCCTTGCGAAAAAAGGGCATCCCTTTTTGGTTGGTCGAGTTTAAAGGGAAACCCTTTCCCAAAAAAAGAGAACAAAGGGCGGAATCCAGTGGGCGCAGAAACAAAATCAAGGGTCAGAGTGGCCAGCTCAAGCTCAAGCGTCGCGAGGTCTTCGCGCTGGCACAGCACTTGGTCGCTGTGGACCACACAACGTTTTCGGGTCAGCGTCACCGTTTCTGGCGTAGAAGCATGGGTTCTTTCATTCACTTCTTGAGTGGATGGGCCAAAAAATGTCTAAACCTTTTATGCGCCAAACTGGTCTTCCCGAAAGGTTTCAAGCCCAGGAACTCAGGGCGTGAGTTCATGCTACAACTTTGGCCCACTTTCTCCGATGCAAGCAGCAACTCGGAGAACAAAGGAACCACCCAGGACTTCAACGGCGTCGCACACTTGTCCTCGGCCTCGAGATGCACGCGGCGGCTTTCATGATTTTGACATACGAAAGCAGCGGCTCGTGGCAAATCATAGAACTAAGGCCTAGATAGCTAAGCCAAGCTGGTCATCTCCAATCTCTCGCTGCAAAGCTGGTGGCCGCGTGAGGCTTTTCTTCCATGCTTCTCCATTGGCACAGAACCCGACGCGGGGTATGCCACACAGCCTGCGAAGGAGGCTTGAGCTGTCACTTCGGGCGTCTTCTCGCTGTGCTACTGCATGCCAACTCTGCCCTTGCGACGCGTTTGCCTGGCCTTTTCCGGCACAGTGCTCCCCCTCTGAAAGTTCTAGCAAAAATGGCAGCCTGATGGCCGTGCCGCCGGAGGCGAGGTGTGATCTTGGGCTTTGGTCTGGTCCTCAAAACGGTCGATGCCTGGATGGGTTTGAAGGGAAACCAAAAGGAGAAGGACCTGAGCGGAGCCCATGTAACCCAGGCCTTGACCAACTGCCCCAGGAAGCCGGAGCAGTCAGAATGCATATCACCCGGCGCCGTCATGAGGTTTGCACGCTTGCAGCCTCTGCAGATGGCTGAGGTGTCTTGGTGGTACACATCCGGAGGCCTAGGTGTGTCGCGTACTGGCGATTTGCAACAGGAATAGCCCTCCATTTGGCCTCAACAGCATTTCTCAGCGGTTTCAGCTGTGCTACAGGTTCAGCTTTCATGACTGCATTCACTTTCTGCTGGAAAGAGCTAGTTACCCGGCGAGGTACTTACAGGGCTGGGTTGCTTGGCAGGTGATCTTTTACCTCCGCAACTGCCACTCCCACAAGCGCCAGCGACGGTGCAAAACCAAATTGCACCGTTGAGAACCTGAGAACTTGTGAGGAGCAACGTCACAAGGCCATGGAATGCGCGCGTAGAGTAGCCCAATCATTTACAGGAAATCGGCCGCATCTTTAAAGCGTCAGTTCAAGCCAACCGCGTCATCTCTGCCCAAGTCAAATGCTTCATGGACATAGCTTGCCATGTACAGCTTTCATTGGGTCCAATACCTTGGAAATCCCGGTTAGCCTTATTTTTCGAATCGCAGATCCCCTAAAATAGTGAGAAAATAAACGGCAAGGACAGCAGCTGGATCGAACTTCGCAACAAACCATACCCAGAGCTCAGCTGAGGCATTGGCACATTGCCTCTAAGTTTTCGAAAAGATATTCCAATTTGTCAACTCCTGGTATGGGGTAACCAAAGACATGTTGAAACAAGTTTTGATATCCCTGTGCAAGTTGCGCAGGACCTTTCTGAGCTGTCAGCCTCGCGCTTGGCCGCAAACACTGACGTGTTGCACGGCACCAAACCAGCCAAATTACTTGGTGTGATAAGTCGCACAGGCTGAAATGATGGAACAGTAGTTTGACGAAACGGCGTAGTCATTCGGTCAGTCACAATCCTCACTTTGCAACAGTATCTTCAGAATCACGAATGGGTCAAGTCCAAGCGAAGGGCGAGCAAGCTTGCAACCAATAGAGACATTGGAGCAGAGTCCAAGACAAAAGTTGTGTCAGGCTCCATAAGGCTTCTGCCTTTCAGGACGCAATACCCGGAGTCGTCGGCGACCTTTTCGAGCCAACTGCTGAAGCAAGATCCAACTTAGCAATTCCATCAAGGCCTCAAAAATGTAGGTGAATGGGTGACACATCATGGAATTGTCTCACAACTCACAACGTGTGCAACGACAAGCATTCACAAAGCTATCAGAAAGAAACGGTGCCCGGAAATCACCTTCCTCACGCCGCCAATTCCCATTGAGAGAGCAATTCAAGTTCAAGCAACAGCGTGAGCATTTTTGGCAATCCCTTGCGCTTGCACTTTCGCGAACTCCAATGTGTTTTTCTGGGGCAGGTCATCCCCAGGGTGTCTCATGCCATTTCGAGGGTGTCCCACTACGTGGTAGCCCAGTCCGAGTATCTCTCCAGTTCTGACAAAGGCGGCCGGTGTTTCTCAAATAGGAAGGGGAAAAAACGCAGCAACGATGGCGCCCTTCGAAGCTCACGAAAACCGGAAATCCCAATTTTGAACCCTGGCCCCATCTCATTGAGCTTGACCATCTTGAGCCTTCATTTTGCAATGCGCAGCCGCTCAACTCAGTTCGAGCGTGCGCTTTTTGCGCTCGCGCCTTTGCACGAATCCTTCGCCGCACTACGAGTTCAGGCAACCAGGTAATATCGAGCGAGGGACTCTCCGGTGAGGGACTCGGATGTGAAACATATCCACACGTACCTTGACAACATTGGCGCCCCGCAAGAGCGCATGAAAAAAGGGATGCTTGACTCGCTTTGGTTGCCCCAAAATGCGAGATCAGGTTGGCAAAGCGCTACTTCTCATCTTTCTTCAACTCGAGGGATGTCCCGGAGCTGTTGATCAGCATCTGCTTGAAGTGCTCGCCTTCAATTCTCTGGCTGTCCAACGAGACTTCGCCATCGCACCCTAAAACGCAGCAGGCGGCGGAAACCAGCCAACATGGACTTCAGCAAACGCAGGTCTCCAGAAAGAAAAGGGATGAGGCGACTGAATACTTTCTCCAGCTGCTCCAGGTATTTCTCTGAAGCCAAGGGGATACACCGCTCTCCGGCCGAGGCCAGAATTCGAGCCCAGGGCGAAGAGCAGAGATCTGTGATGCAGCGTTTTTTGTTTTTTTGCGGGTACAAAATGAAACTCGAAAACCTCAGTGGCAGCTTTTTGCAAAAGCTGACCATGCACTCTGCAACCGCAAAAAAGCTGACCACTGACTGCGCGAAACGGTCTGTCTGCCATTTCAGGGAACCGAAGAGACGCCGGCCGCCGTTGCTACCAAAGTCACAGCGACAATTGTCAAGCTGCGCGGAACTGTAACTTCCAATTCCATTCTGAACCCAGGGATCCGGATCTTTCTATAAAACCACCAAAAACCCGGGGGAAATGGATCTGGTTGTCGGTTTTGAAAAGAACGATGGCTGAAAAGAATGGGAAAGGAATCAAGCCCTAGAGAAACTAGTCTACACGTCATCCGATTGACCTTGGCTGCTTTTGGCTTCTTCAAACTCGCGCAGCTGGCACTCCACAAATCTTGTGGGCTTCAGCACATCCCCACCCCGGTAAGGGGGGGGACGTCTGGAAATGTAATTTGCATTCTCTGGGGGTCTGCGCCTAAAAGTTTGGCACCTAAAAGTGCAAGATGACTTTGCCAAAATGTAAGATTACATTTGGGCGCTGGTGGACATATCAGCAAGGTACCTCGCACATGACCAAGATACAATTTCATGAACTTGCCCCATCCCCAATGCCTTCAAAAGCCTCTGCGCATGCGTCACATCTGCCCCTCCAGCATCATCAGCTTGCATTTTGCGATTCCACCACCCCCCAAAGTCATTGCAAGGCACTGCCATCCGAGCAGGCCTGCTAGACCAAGACTGCGTCATAAACCTTGAAAGCATAAGGGCTGAAAAGTACTGGCGTTGCCAGTGTTGCAAGGCAGTAACGCGAAAGGTGTGAGCCTGTGTGCAACCCAGTGTCTTGAAGGTCTGGGCAAAGCCAAGCTGTTTGGGCCCAGCGCCGCCGCGCTTTGCTCAAGTCAAGGCAACATGATGCTCTACATGATGTCTAATGCTACTCCCGGTAGCCAACGCAAGCTTCAGGGATTCAAGAGCTCGGAGAACAGGCGGTGTGGGTCTCAGCCTTGATAGCTGCTTCACAAGACTCGCGCAGATCGAAGCTCACCAAGCCGTCGGCACAGCTGGGTCGATTCGCTTCAACACCACTTCCTGCTGGCTGCCGTCCGAGCAGGCGTCGCACTGCCGATCCAAACCGCAGGCCAGGTTTGATTACGAAACTTCGCGTGCCCTAAGCCATAGTACAAACTGCTTTGATACGCAGCCAGCCACTAAACCCCATCCTGCGCCAGACTTGAAAGTGTGAGGGCCGGATAGTATCGGCGCTGCTGGTTCTGTAAGGCAGTGCCCCAGACTCAAGTGGTGTAAGCGCGTACTGTATCTGCCAGGCAGAACGTGCAAAAGGTCTAAGCAACATGCGGCTTGCGCAAGCCATTGGTGCCACGTGGTCATTGTGGAAGGCGACCTGTTGCCTTTCACCCACACAACTTCGTCTCCCAAGCGCAAGTGGGCCACTGCAAGTTGGGATCCGCGGCGACCCCGAGCCCGGCGAATACGACTTGCTCATGATTCAGTGAACTACGTTTGAAGATGTTGAACACTGCGGACCAAGCACGGAGTGCCATTGCACGTAAGGGAAGCGACATGCCGAGTTCGCAAACACCAAGCATGTCTTTTTGTTTGTTTTAACTCAATAGCCGAGAGCCACTCCAAGCTGAGCCAATCTCCGCAAGTCAAAAGTTGGAGGGTCCAGGCAAATAGAACCGCAAATGAAATCTGGGCACAGATGGAAGCTCTGTCGCTACCACTTGACCAAAACCCAAATTACGAAGGAGCAACGTGTTGAGGGGAACGCTGTGCGGCGATGATGGCAGCCGAAGCTGCTCTATTCACAAACACTCGCTGTTGTAAGGGCGCATCATTGAATGGAACGTGGCTGAACTGTTTCAGAACCAGCTCTGAACCAAAGACTGAACAAACCCGTGTCGAAACGAGATCCCCATGCTCAAGGGGCGGGGGTGAGGGGCCCCAAATCACAAATAGATGCATCACAAAAGGAGCCTACGTGGCAATTTGAGTGTGTCACATGGATTTCAGTTCTTCGAGGTTCGGGTCAGTTGTGATCGGTTGGGGCGTCGTGCTCTTTGCCCGAAGGAGTTTGTTTCTCCTCAATCGAACTCTGCCACGTTATGTAAGAGTGAAACTTCCGAGATTTGCCGCATAAAGGCAAAGCAAGGGTGGGACGACAGCTGACTACGCTTGAAAGTGGCAGCTGGCGCCTGCCATGGACGTTTGACGGCTGGATTGTTTCAGAATTAGCTCTGAACTGTGTTGAAATGAGCACGCCTCAAGAAAGGAGTGGCCACCATGCACGTGTAGGTTGACTAGGTCGGTCCCATTCCCTCAGCGCAACGCAGATTCTCCCTCCGGCCATTTGAATCCTGTCAAGCAACGATCACCCAACCTCAACCACTCAAATCAACCAAGACTGTTCCGACCCAAGCCTCCACTTTGCGCGCCTTGTAAAGTCATTACGTGCTCCAGCCAACTTTGATTGCAAAGGTCGTGTAAAGTATGTCATGTCAGCTCGCTCGGGGAAGGGGGGAAGGCAAAGCCTTCTAAGAAGCACTCCGTGTCTGCGAAGGGTTCTTTCACTAAATCTGTGCTTCTCAGCTGAAACCCATCCGCTGACTCACCTCGTTGGGTTTGCCCGTATTCTGCTTTCCAACTGCCACCAAGCCCCAGCTCCTTGGCATCTCCTTGGCGTGGTAAGCAAACACAAAAGCGAAACAGAGTCTAATAGATAGAGTTGACATTGAACAAGATATTATCCCAACTGCGAAGGCCTGAAGAATTATTCAGCTGCGGGTAACCACCAACTCACGCTCAAAAGCGGTCGCGTGGACCGGATCCCCATTGCAAGGGTGCAAGGTATGTCTGAGAAGGAAAGCAAAAGGACCCCCTCTCAGGTCACTGCCAAGCTCACAGACCCATAAAACCAGCATTGGGACTGTCAAGTGTGAGACTCGTTCAAATGAAACCAGCGCCACAAGGTCTCTCTTGGCTTAGGCCCACACATAGGGAGTCGAAGGCTCACCAAATCGCGATGCGGCGAAGGTCGGCGAAGCGGTGTTTTTCGAGCCTCGAGTCCTGGATCAGGGCGGTTTCAATGATACAAATACAACATACCGAATCGTATTGTTGCGTATTGCGAGCTACTGAGAATCGACAAGCAAGTATCGCAACCTGAAATCGTATCGAAGACTATCGCTGGAAATTGTTTTGAATCATACCGATTTGTATCGGTATCGCTTGGGGTTTGCTTTGAGGGGCCCTTTGGGGCCAGAAGGGCGGCAGCCAGCCAGCTGCGGATAATGGCGGCTGCGCTGCCTGGCACTTGGAGGCGCCGCCAAAGCCTTTGAGAGGCTGCTTGTAAGACGTTGTAAGAGACCCTCTTCTTTCAGAAACACAGGTCTAATGGCTCTGGACAAATGGAAAGCCAGGAGCACTGTCAGACAGTCAAGCACGGAGAGCTTCAGAGAAGCCAGCCGCATCCCAAATTTTGGCGAGTCCAGCCATGCGGCGAAGGTCGGTCTGTGCGCTTTTTCAAGCCTCGAGTCGTCTGACCACGTGGTGCGCATGGATGTTGCGCGACCTCACAGAGCTGCGTGACGGACTGCCGCGTGCCTATGCATCTGCTTCAGCTGAATCGTAGGCCCAATGTGCATCCAACCGCAGCTCCTGGCCTGGCAATTTCAGGCTTCGAGTGGGCGTGAAGACAAGTTGCGGCTGGGAAACATCACAACTTGGGACTTGCCATCTGGGCAGCCAGCGCATGGGCGACCATTTCGCGTGGTCAAGCCAGTTTGAAAGCAAATATCTACTTGGGCAACAGCAGCAGTCTGAAGATTATGACGAAGTTCTGGGTGCAGCCAAGCTGCTTGCATACATGGAACTCCTCATGATATCATCTAACGATATTCCTTCAAGCCAAAGCAAGCCCGTGCGAAGCAGTTTTATAAAATAGAGTAAGCAGCAAGAACAGGTTGGAACGACGCGCGAGAGCACTGATATAAGTCTCATGATTGATAGGCTGAATGGGCTTCACGCAGCTTCGCTGGAAACCTGCGAGCAGCAAATTAACAATGCTTTCGCCACAGCCAGGTCAACACCACCCTGTCGATGGCAAAGTCATGGCAAAGCACCGCCCGAGTACCTGAGCTTTGGCATTCTTATGATCTGTGCCTAAATTCCAACCTCTTGTGAAATTACCTGGCTGCGAAGCAAGCTCTTCAAGCAAATGTAGAGGAGTGCTTCATTGAACATCCCAACGGGTGCAGCCTGGAAGGCGCATTGGAAAGATGCGACGATGGCGGTGCTGCATGGCAAGGCATCCAATGCACAAGGTGTGAGTGTCAGGCCAGCACAGTGTCTGCCAACTGCAGTCTGGGTGTGGCTCAAAATTAAACAGGAGGGGTGACGCAGGTTTTGGTCCATGTTTCCACTTACCAGGGTTCCATTTTGGTACCGTTTTTTTTGAGCCACAGCCGTCTGAAGCTGAAGCTTGTCGCGAAATTCGGGGCACGGGCAGGCCGGTTGGGTCCGTGCTTTGCTCAAGGCCTGGCGCTCCTGCCAGCTAATACTCCTGGCAGCCAATGCAAGCCTCATTCCAAGCAGCCTACATCAAGGATGAGCGCTAAAACCAGTCCCAGCCTTGGCAGCTGTTTGGATGCCAGGCTTCACAAAGCTTGGCTTAAGACTTCACAAAGCTCTGAGCACAGCCGGGCCCGTCGGCTTTGAAACTTGCTGGCACAGTCATTGCAAAGCGCCATCGCACCTGCGCCCTGTCAACTCAAGCCGCACGTCGGCTTTCTGATGAGCTTTCTAATAAGCCTTCTAAGTGACCTGGCTGCGCAGCAAGCTGCCGTGGCGTCGGCGAGGTGGCGTCGGCCACGTTGCCTCTTAGACGGTCTTTGAGTGGCGAAAGCTCCTTCCGCGAAGCCTCTGCGAATGAATAAAACCGCGAAAAAGAAGGGCTCCGGCGAGGCTGTCCCCTACTGCCTGTATGTTGTTACTGACAGACCTGCTGCACTTCTCTTGCTCAGGCCAGAGACACATTCATCGCAGGGGCGGAGATCAAATTCAACCTCGAGCAAACTCCGAGAGATGGAGTGCTCGGGCTGGGCAATGACGAGTTGCTGTTCTCCATCCCAACTCGTTAGGTGCAAAAGAGGAGCTGTGGCTTGCGAGCTGGGCTTGCGAACTGCTCTGAACCCCGAGATGTTGCTCGGCCCCAACGACAATCTTTAGCTTCAGTCTTACCACGGACTTAGCTTGGCAGATAAACCCAAGTTGTAGCTGACGTCAGTCCGCACAAACTGCAGGTGCCCCGTGCGTCTTTGCTCTAGGTCCTACACAAAGAAAGCTCGCCGGCGCAAAGGGCAGCTCTGTCCGGCCGGGCCCCAGGCTTCGTCTTTGCGCAGCTGGAACTTCACCAAGCTCCGGGTGGGTCGGTTGGATTCAACGCCTGGCATGGCTACAGTCCGCGCCGCCCGGTCAATTCAAGCCAGCGCGCAGCCGCCCGACCTCTTGCGAGCCACCTTGATCAGCCGGCCACCAAGGCAAATGCTAGGCCAACACTGTCTCATTTTGAAGCCCCCGCGTGCCAGCCTTGAAAGTGTAGTGCGATGCATCAAACTCAAGCGGTGCGATCGCACGTGCAAGCCGCCATGCTGCGTGCCAACCACAGCGGCAGTCTGAAGCTGCAGCTTGCGCACAGTCAAGCTGTTCGGGCCCAACGGGCCCATGCCTTGCTCAGGGCAACACTACGCCCCTCCTTCTGCCTTCTAACGGTGGCGGAAAACACACTATGATTCCAACATAGAGGCAGCAAGCTTCGGAAAGAACACGCCACTGGGATGCTGAGCTGCGCCAGCGCTGAGACCAGCCTGAGCTTCAAAAAGCAGCAGCCAAGTCGGTCGGCTTCAACGCCACTTGATGGCAAGGTGATTGCAAAGCTAGGTCCTCCAGTAGAGAGGTGGGAATAAGGGTACTAACCTTTTTCTGTAGTGAATTTTAGTACAGTAGGGGAACCCTCCCCCAAAAAAAGGGTTTTGGGGGGAGAGATGCCAGAGAGTTGGAAACGTAAGCGAACATAACGGTCTTTCTTTTGAAGCTTGCCACGAAGGTCTGGGCATAGCCAAGCCTGTCGGGTTCTGCTTAGCTCAAGTCAAGGCAACATTGCACTCCTGACTCCTCATCGTGTCGTCAACTGCTTCTCCTGAAAGCCAACGCAAACCCCATTCGAAGCATTCTGGAGGGCCAACACAAACCTCATTCCAAGCAGCCGACATCAAGGCAAGCTCCGCAAAAACAAGCTGGAATGTTGAGCGCGAGCTCTGAGATGGGTCTCAGCCTTATCTGCTTTGCTTTCAACTCGGCTGGAACTTCACAGAACCCGCGCGGCCGGGTCGGTTGGCTTCAAAACCACCTGATGGCAAAGACATGGCGCTTTGCACTGCCGTCCGAGCAACCGGCGCCCTGGCAATTCAAGCCGAAGTGCAACTTTGTGCAAGCTGCCTTGATGTGCAACCAGCCACTGAAGCAAATGCTAAAGCAAGACTGCATCATGTACTTGAAACCCACCACGCGCCAGCCTTGAAAGCATAAGGGCTGGAAAGCAATGGTGCTGCCAGTGCTGCAAGGCAATGCATCAGACTCAAAAGGTGTAAGCGCGTGCGCAAGCCAGCAGTACTGTGTGAATCACAGCGGATGAAGCTAAGGCTTGCCCTGAAGTTCTAGGCGCAGCCGAGCTGGGTGAGTTCACTGGGGCCGTGCTTTGCTCAATGTCAAGTCAAAGAGCATGACCCTCCTATCCTGCCTAGCTAAGCGCACTCGGTAGCGTTTTAAGACCAGAGCACCCTGCTTCGAAAGAGACACCTGCTTGGCTGGCAAGCGGCAAGCTCCACAGAGCCGGTGGAAGCTTAGGCTTGCCTCGAAGTTCTGAGCACAGCCGAGTTGGCTGAGTCCAACTGGTCCGTGCTTTGCTGAAGTCAAGGCAGCGTGAGCCTCCTATCCCGCCTAGCTAAGCGCACTCCCCGCCAATACTCCCGGTTTAGGGAGATAGTACACTGCTTTGAAAGGGACACCTGCTTGGCTGGCAAGCGGCAAGCTCCACAAAGCAGTTAGCTTCAAACTCGCGCAGCTGGAACTTCACAAAGCTCTGAGCACAGTTGGTTGGTTGGCTTTAAAACCGCTTGCTGATGGCAAAGTCGTTGCAAAGCACTGCCGTCCGAGCAGCCTGCACCCTGTCAGTTCAAGCCGGAGGTCAGGATTTATCACAAAGCTGGGCTGACCCGAAGCGGAACTTCGTGCGAGCCACCACTGAAAGTATCCGGGCTGGAAAGCAATGGCGCTGCCAGTGCTGCAAGGCAATGCATCAGACTCAGAAGGTGTAAGCGCGTGCGCAAGCCAGCAGTACTGTGCCAACCACAGCCACAGCGGATGAGGCTAAGGCTTGCCTTGAAGCTCTGGCACAGCTGAGCTTGAGTCCAACGAGCCCGTGCTTTGCTCAAGTAAAGGCCAAATGACCCTCCTAGCCAAGCTCACTCCCCACCAGCAGCATGGCTTTAGCATGTTTAGGGAGACAGTATCCTGCATCGCAAGGGACACCTGCTTGGCTGGCAAGCGGCAAGCTGCGCAAAGCAATTAGAGGTGGAACTTCACAAAGCTCTGATCACAGCAGGTCGGTTGCCTTCGACACCATTTGCTGATGGCAAAGTCGGCGCTTTGCATCCGAGCAGCCTGCGCCCTGTCAACTCAAGCAGCAGGTCAGGCTTTATTGCAAACCCGGTGTGCAACTTCGTTTTAGCTACCTTGATGCGCAACCCGCTCTAAAGCAAATGCTAGAGCAAGACTGCGTCATGTACTTGAAACCCACCACGCGCCAGCCTTGAAAGCATAAGGGCTGGAAAGCAATGGCGCTGCCAGTACTGCAAGGCAATGCGTCAGACTCAAAAGGTGTGGGGGGGAGCAGAATGCAACAGTACTGTGTCTACCAATCACAGCGAATGAAGCTAAGGCTTGCCCTGAAGTTCTAGGCGCAGCCGTGCTGGTTGAGTTGATTGGGGCCGTGCTTTGCTCAAGTCAAAGAGCATGACCCTCCTATCCTGCCTAGCTAAGCGCACTCGCCGCCAGTAGCGTTTTAAGACCAGAGCACCCTGCTTCGAAAGAGACACCTGCTTGGCTGGCAAGCGGCAAGCTCCACAGAGCCGGTGGAAGCTTAGGCTTGCCTCGAAGTTCTGAGCACAGCCGAGCCGGCTGGCTCCAACGGGTCCGTGCTTTGCTGAAGTCAAGGCAGCGTGAGCCTCCTATCCCGCCTAGCTAAGCGCACTCCCCGCCAATACCCCCGGTTTAGGGAGATATAGTACCCTGCTTCAAAAGGGACACCTGCTCGGCAAGCGGCAAGCTCCACACAGCAATCAGTTTCAAACTAGCGCAGCTGGAATTTCACAAAACTCTGGGCACAACTGGATCGGTTGACTTCAACCCACTGGCTGGCAAAGTCATTGAAACCCCACATCTCCAACGCGAAGCTTGCTTCGCTGAACCTGTGGCATCAAGCCCGCCACGCTGGAGCCTCGAGGTCGCTTTCAAGCACAACTGGGGGGAATCTGACTTGAGATGGCGTCGTTGAGCCTCAAATTTACCCCTGGTTCCGTCATTGCACCAAGCGCGTAGCTCGCACATCCACTTCGCGTCCCAAACGCAGGGCGAGCACGTGTTGAACCAATATGGTGTTCGTTCCGCAACACAAAAGGGGCTCCTTTGGCTTCACTTGGGCATGTTGGGGCCCATTCCTCTTGTCGATGCATAGCATGTCCGAAAGGCAAAAAAAAACAGCGCTCTACATCTTCTTGAGCCAAACCCATCAATGAATGATCCCGTGTTGCGCAAAGTTGTTGTAGCCTGGATTGCTCCACCAGATTTCTTGCTGAGATCTGGTCATCTGCTCCCATCGTGAGCCCCCAATTTGTGTGTCGCATTCAGGCCTGGGCCACGGGTTCCGTTGAGAACGTGATTCTGCGGAGTTTGTCCGGGATCGAAAACTGGGGACCCGAACGGGGGTTAAAATATTCAGGAGCGGGTCTATGCACAATGAGTCCGACACGCACGGGCACGTCGCACAGCCCTAGCTGCGAGCCAAACGAGCGCTTGCTCAAAAGGCCTCCCTCACGGTTTGGACATGCGCGAAAATGCTACTTTCCTCTGCATCCCTTTCTTGAAAGCGTCTTCCTAATTGAGCAGTTCTTCGGGGTTGTAATGCTAGTGACGGGTTTTCTCCGATTGCAAACTCTTGGTGGTACAGTTGGTGGGGCTCTTGATGGTGCCTTGCCTCTGAACTTGGACTTGCTATTTTGAAGCGGGCACCAGTGGCAGTGGGGGCTGGGTCACCAGGATCTCTTAGACTCCTTCTGCCCACAGTCTTTGAGGTGCATCTCCATCTTGCAACAGTTCCAGCATCTGTTTTGGCTTCAGGATATCTAAGTCTGACACGACGTGAGTGCGCTGCTTGGACCTGATTACAATCAGCGTCTCGTTCATCTACTGACCCCATGTTTGCTTGTCTGGCCAAGTCTTGCAAGGTCTTGGCCATCTTAGCTAGGTGGAAGCTCTGGTTGGGCCTGTGAAGGGGAATGTCATAACTATGTAACAAGGTGTGTCCCCAGGCACTGAAAAATGCAGTACGCAAGCGTTCCTCCGCAGCTCCAGCTCGAAAGTTGCAGCTTCTCAACGCAAGCCAAGCAGTGGCAAAAAGGGGTCATCGGCCCGGGCTGGGGTTGGGGCTGTAACGAGGTATGTATACAAAGCACGCCTCCGCAGCTCCAGCTTGATTGCAGCCATTCAACGCAAGCCAAGCGACCGGAAAAACGGGGGTCGCTGGCCCATGCTTGGGTTGGGTCTCAACGAGATATGTAACAGATATCTCGCGAATGTGTACGAGGTATGGCAGAAAGAGGTTATTTTCTTCCGACCCCTGTTCCACTTTCATCTGAATGGCAAGCTCTCTGCAAGTTGACTCTTCAGCCAAAGCATGCTTTGCAAACGTCTGCCCTGCAGGCACCCATGGGAAAACACTAAGAGTCTGGGTGTGCGTCGGGGTAGGTAACGACGGGCATGCAAGCCAGGCTGTTTGTTCATGTGAGGTGTGTAATGAAAGCATGTAACGAGGGGTGTGTAACGAGCCAGCGGTCTTGTTACAGAGGTCTGCAACGAGGTCTACGACAAATGTCCGCCGCGGCTCTGTTTCAGACCCTTCAAAAAAGTCGCTGCTAAAAAAACACACAGCGGTCAACCAACAAACAACAACACACGAACCCAAACAAACAAAAATACTGCCGCAAGCAAGAAGCGCAGCCAGTAAAACCTCAATGGTGCCTTTAATGTCCACCAGTCCTTTCTCCGCACTGCGTATGCGCAATGGAGGGGCTTCTGCACTCCAAGCGAACTGCTTTGTCCACCCCCATGACGCGCACCCATTTGGCCAACGCCTCCCGCATCTTCGGGGAGCAGCCAATGCTGAACACCACTTCAAGCAACGCCTCCCCGGTAAGATTTGTTCGAAGCAACTCGCCTCAAAAACGCATGAACGACACACGCTAACTCTTGGCAGACGAGTGGCAGCTCTGGTGAGCACCGAGTGTCTGTAGGGCAGGAGTAGGGATCACCAAGTCAAAGCCAGCACAGTTCCAACACATGGGTTTTGGCCGCTAATCAAATTGTTCGGAATCTGAACCATGGGCCCAAAAAGCAGGGACCCCATTTGGACCACAGCTGGCCCCCTGGTGCCCTACTAAAAAAATGCCAGGCGAAGAACTGGGTGTCGTTGATTTCTTTTTGGTCCCCTTTTTTAAACCAAAAAGGGCGTTCCCCGAAGAGTCACACCCATACCTAGAATGGAATCGGAAGACTCGGCGCTTGCCGAGCTTTTTCGGTGCAAAATTATCTCCAAGGCGAACTCTACCAGATCCACCCTGCTTTTGCTTCCGCACGTGATCTTGGGACACTTCGCGAGTGGGGATGAGAGCTCTTCAGCCAAGGCCCGACACCCGTACGTGTCTAACTTCAACGCACAAAGACATAACTGATTCCAGTGGGCCCGGAGTCAAGTCTGCAAGGTTTCTTGAGGAATCGACATGCATGGAACCATTGCCTGCAATTATCAGCCCTACCAGACCTGCAGATCCCAAGATATGAGCTGCAGCACATGACCAACATCTTGAATGTCCCCAGCTTGAAAATATATTCTGGGCTGCCCTCAGATCCCCTGCTAAAAGTGGCTCACTTTTAGTGGGTCAAATGGAAACCCCCACTAAACACTAAAAGTCTAAAAAGTTTTCAGGAACCGGATGGCTGGGAGCCACCAAGTATTGGACGCACACTTACACACCAGCTGAAGGAAGCCGAAGAGGGGCCCAAGGGCTGGGTATAAAGGGGACATAAAGGAAAGCCCAACGCAACCGGCCTGGTTGGAACATATGGGTATGGCTCAAAATTCACCAGGAGGGGTTACGCGAATTTCGGTCCATGTTTCCACTTACCAGGGTTCCATTTTGGTACCGGTTTTTTGAGCCACAGCCATATATGAACCAACCAACCATGCCTGACAATGTAAAGGAGTGTGAAAGAAACTCACCAGTTTTGGGTCGGATTCGAAGACCCAAATAGTCACTGGTAAGTTGTTGCGAACATCGTCTGAGCGCTTGGACTTTGGGAGTCTCGTCAATCGGGCCAGGCAAGGCTCTTCAAGTGACCCCGTGTGAAACGTACGATCCGCCTGGACTGCAATGGAGAAGATGTTTTTTCAGTCCACAAGTACCGATTTTTCTGCATCAACAGAACAACTGGCGCCATCAACAAGTATCCAAAGCAGATATTTGCCCTTTCTGGTTTTTGTGGTGAAGCAAACAAACACTCAACTGCCAACGAGCGAGTGGTTCTTAATTTCATCGGTTGAAAATAAATCTTAGATACTGGTGAGACAGAGAGCGGCACAAAACGGCTATCCGTGCTGTGCGCGGCCCGTACACATCTCTTGCTTACTGCTCAGAAAGCGGAATTGGGAGAGCAGCCGGTTCCTGACGACATTCGGGAAGCAATGCCAGGAGCACGCATGGCACAGGGTTCCCTTGAATTTTCCCCTCCTGGACCTGTAAATGTAGCAGCCAGGCCCCCCCAGTAAATGGCTCGACTGACTATGTGCTCGCGCATGTCCCTTGCACCCAGTCACATGTTTCGACCCCGCAAGCACCAGCGACAAACCTCCACACGACCCATTTTTCAAAACGGTATCCCCTACAAATCACTCCGCGACAAACCTCGATGCGATTAAAAAAAAAGTCGGCCAGGCACAGTGAGTGACTCGATTTGCTTCACTGGGCCCAGTAGAGAGGTTAGAATAAAAGTGTACCCATCGCGGTCTGGTGTTCGGGGGTGGGGTTGGACCCCCCCATTTCTGCAGAAAATGGGGGGGGGTCCAACCCCACCACGAAAAAAACGAAAACGGCAGCGTCGTGAAACAAATGGGGAGGTTAACCTCCATTACTGTCAGCATCATTTCTGTTATAGTGCGTGGCTCCCTTACAAGGTAAACTTTCAGTGAGATGCGACATAAACCCCCCTAAACTCAAAAGAGTTGAACATTGGGTATGGCCGAGAACGGCCAAAATGAGACATGTGAACAGGTCGATTCGCTGGACTGAAGCGAGTCACAACCTGAGGTGGGGCGACATTCCGCGCGTGAAGGTCTGCTTTGACGTCCCCGGAAAGCCCCCCCGGCACTTTGTACCAACGTGTTTCGCGGGGCTCAGGAAAAAACCTCCGGGCAGTTACTTACGGAGTTCCCAAGATTTCCACTTGAAACATCACACCAGGCAAATCACATGATAAATAGCTGCGCGGATATGCGGATTTTAGAAAATGGGGTTTTCCAACTTGGTCTATTTTAGAAAATGGGGTCAACCAGTCCGGAGAAATTTCTAATTTTAGAACATGGGGGCCAACCTAGAACCCTTCCTGACCAGACCCATTTTCTGTTATTCACCATTTAGAAAATGGGGAATACCAACCCCACCATGGGAGGTGAAGCCCAAAATGGGCTCAACCCCCCCCCCATTTTGTAAATTCATGTCGAACCCGGACGGTACCCTTTCTTCTGTAGCCTATTTTAGTAGGGGATAGGGGGTTTCCTCCCAACCCAAAAAAAGGGGAGAGAAAGGGCACCTAGCCGGACCTAGATTTGTGCCATCTCCGGCTCGGAGGTCCAGGCCTTTTCATGCCTCCACCATTGTGCCTTGGGCCTGGCAGAGGGCGCAGCTTCGAGCAACTTTGGCTTCAGCGACTGAGCTGGCGTCAGATTCTAATTCATGGTGACTCCGTGGGTCTGAGTGAAACAAGTGGGACTGCTCAGAGACCTGCATCCGAAATCAAACGCTATATGGGTACGGGTCAAAATTAAACCACCAGGGGACCGCAGGTTTTGGTCCATGTTTCCACTTACTAGGGTTCCGTTTGGGGTACATATTGTTGACCCACAGCCATATGGACATGTTTGCAGGTCATTTGTTGGGAACCTCCTTTGCTGGGTGTTCAAAAGGAACTCGATACGGCGCTACGACCGCCATTTGTGGCCCAATTTTGAAACCAATGTCAGGCCGACCAAGGCTTGCCATCGACACACCGAGCACCCATCACCCAAACATCAAGCCGCGACACACACACACACAGAATGCAAACCACACGGCCACCCAGAAACCAAGCCAGCCATCAAGATCTAAGCTGACGTTCAGCTGACCACGACTCTGGTAGTGTTCCATTTCCATCTGCCAGCAAATCATGCAGCCCAACTTCCAAGCCACAATTCACTATACATCTCGAATTCCAAAAACGCCAATGCTCAAGAGGAAAAGAAAACATCCCCTTGCGACAAACGGGTTTGGATTCCTTTCGGACGCGATCCACACATGACTTTGGTGCAACTCGGCCGAGGGTTCTGACGGGGCTATTGGGGGGGGGGCTATCCCTCGATATGCCCAGGATAAGCCAAGGGCAAGCCGGCCCTTGATAAGGTCTTCTTAAGGGATTAAGGGATTGCCCCCCGATAGCCCCCCGATAGTCTTTCTTGGGGGTTCATGATCTTACTTAACCTCCCACCACAAATTCATCTGCAAGCTGTGGGTCTGCCATTCTCACTTTCTGAGTGAATTGACCAAACCACTATCCAGGAACTTGTTTTTGCCACCAAAATGGTCCAAGCCCCAAAAGTGACTCAAGCCCATCAACTCAGGGAGTGAGTACAAAGGGTATATAACATTTTTTTCCTGCTGATTTGGATGCCGAAGGGAACTGAAGTCCGTCGGTCCGACTCCCGGAACTCAGGAATTGACTGAAATCATTCAAGGCGCAACTCAGCTCCGGCTGCGATTCTTCCCACTCGATCCCTCGATTTCGGCCTCCCGGTGCCAGGAGCGATTCTCCGCCTGCGCCAGTTGGATGGGGTCCAGCGCAGGCACCTGACGATCACTGACTGCCAAGTTCCTAAAAAGGTACTGGCATCAAACGGCTGTGGCTCAAACAAATGAGTTTTTATCGACATAGGCACCTTGGTAAATGGAATCAAAAACTATCGGTAGATACAACTTTGGAACACCTCGGACTTGACTCGGACTGACTCCAAGTACTGCTACCAAAGGACACCTGGCTTGGAACATGGACCTCCAGTGACAGAAACCTTTCGACAAATCACGGCACAGGATTTTTTCTTTGGGTTCGAACGGGGAAAAGCTGATCTAAACTTTCACCCTGAACCTGGACATAAACAACCTGGTCCCTTTCAAGCGGCACGGGCCCAGAAAATCTGAATCCTGCGCCTGAATAGACCTGAGGACAAGCTTGCATGCAGATCCCCCAGCAAAAAGCTAAACACTTTCTGTAGGTTGAAAGGAAAAACGGGGGGTATCCACAAAGTGAAAGTCTAAAGATCCAGCCCAATAGCAGTAGAGAGGTCGGAAACCCGCTTTTAAGGACTCGGCCCGGTGATTTCTTGGCGTCTATGTTGATCAGATATCCATAGTTGGCTTCTGGAGGTTCGGTTGCGCTTCCATGCTTACTGCCATACTGGCAATGCGTGAATCATGCAAGGCTACGTCCTACTTCGAAGGGGAATCTGGCAAAGTGGTTGATGTGTTCAGAAAAGTGAGTTCGTGTGGGCGAGTCTTAAGAAGTGACCATAAACCCGCGCCTTGGCAATAGTTTGCACACCGTCTAGATGTGTTTTAACCTCTGGTCGGTGAATTTTCACGCCGGCACGGTTTTTTTGTTGCACTGTACTGGCTGCCGAACATCAACTCCGAACGGTCTCGAACTGGTTGCAAGTACATATTCGCGAACGCAACTCCAACGTAATTAAAACCCAATTGAACGCAATTTGAACGCAAGACACAAACATGACTCAGAGTAAGGTCAGTACTCAAGCGCGCACAAAGTAGGCATCATAAGTAGCATGTCTTTTCTCCACAAGGATGGGAAGAAACAATGTCAGCAGCTGCTTCCGTGACTCTCTTTAAGGGTCCACCCAGCAAGATCCTTGCAAAATCTAGGACACATCCAAATAGTGGTAGATGGCGGCTTGAGTTTTGAACACTACCATTTTAGCCATTGTCGAATGAGTATTGTCGACCCCGGAATAGTAAACCCCTGTTTATGAATAGGGGGTACTTTTCCCTGGGCAGACCACTTTTGGAGGGGCCAAAAACCACCCCCCATATTAATAAACTGGGGTGGATGAATCTGGGGTCAACATGATGGGTCAAAAGTGAAACCACCAGGATAGGAACCGCGGGTTTTCAGTGCACGTTTCCATTTACCAGGTTTTTTTGGTACCCATATTCCGTTATTCTTTTCCACGTCACAGTTTGTTCAACCTTTTCCGCTTGCCTCGGCGTCCAAGCACTCCGACACTGTCTGGCCTCGGCGAAAAATAAACGCCAAGTCCGTCGGCGACCAAAAGAATGTCCATCGGCGATCAGGGGCCCAAAAGGGGACCTGGAAACGGTCCCCAAAAGAGGTGTCCTTTTGGGGCATATAGATGGCCCTGGTAGAAGATTAAACCACCAGGTAACATCAATTGTTCGACCAAAACAACCAAAAAGGACCCCGAAACGGTCCGCAAAAGGAACCCTACTAGAACCTACTCGACCCGAGTCGCTATTAGCCCCAATTGGGGGGGCTCCGGTCCTGGGAGGTCCTATTGGGAACCATATGCAATGAATGAGTCTGGCTGAAAATTCGTTGGAACCCACGACTTTTCGCTTCGCTTCTTCTTTTGGTTTGCCCTTTTTCGCCAAGGCCGAAAGGAGATTTTCCCCAAAAAGAAAGAAAAGAAAGAAGAAGAGACATACCCAAGCCAGGTGCTAGCAATTGCCCACACAGACCCGGAGAGCTGCGCCGAGCCTGTACCATCGTTTGTGTTGCGATGGATCTGAATGTGAGGCGTTGCTCTAGTCTCCATTGTATGGTAGGAGTTGCATGTAGACTGCACATATCTAAGACCAAAGTCAGCCCCAAAACACGACCGTGTGTCGTGTGTACTTCAATCATGTATGAGGCAGGCTCTGACGGCAAGTCCCAATCCTCGGGACTGCTAAGGAACCGGACGGGGGCCACCAAGTAACAACTTCGGGCCACATCCACCCCGACGGACATGTCCCCGGAGGCCATGTCCAGTCCATGGCACAGCTCTTCAATTTTTGTCGACAGGTTGAAGTGGATTCCGGTGGTCCGCAAGCAGAAAGCCGCCGAGCTTGCGAAATGGATACGTATACATATACATATGTATTATACATATCTCAGTCACCCAAAGGACCCAGAAATAAAAGGTTAACCTTTTGGGCCCTTGACTAAAGATAGACCAAAATTGGAAAACAAAAAGGTTAAAAGGTCGGCTTTGGGCAACTGATATATATATATATATATATACCTGAGCTGTCCGCAGATCCCCGCTAAAAGTTTAACTCTTTGTGAGTTAAAAGGCTACTGCGAACCACCAAGACATATGTGCATACATATATATATATATAGAGTTGACAAAAGGTGGACTCCGTGTTCTCCAACTGCAAGATGCAAGTCAGCCCCACTGGCCGGACCCGGGCCCGGACTGTCCAAATCGCTGATCATAACCTTGGCCGCCGAATTCCAGCGGTGGCCCAAGGTTTTCCATATTCCCGGCTTTACCAGTTATACTCAGATGCCCAGTGGATTTCCATGGGAAAAAGGGCATCCTTTTCTGGTTGGTTGAGTTTAAAGGGGAGCCCTTCCGCAAAAGAAGGAAGAAATGGCGCCACCGGGCAACAAAGTATAGAACATGCTGTTCACTACAACACATAACAAGAACATCAGAGCATCTGCTTTTTAACCATACTTCTCAACCTGTTTGATGCATGTGGGCTGATGGACCATCGTGGGCAGGATTGCATGTACCTTGGTGTATACGATTGCAGCCCGGACGTGTGTTTACAAACCACGTCGAAGGCAAAGGGCTGCTGCTGCAGAACATAGACTGCAGCATTTGAGCTTACCTATCATTCGCCCCGCTGAGATGTTGCCAATGTCCTTAGTGAAAACCGGCCGGGCATCCTTGAGACATGGAGCATGCATAACAAGCAAGACTTGTATCTAAGGCCACGGGTGATAAACCTTCTCCCAGCTCTGAATCATTGACTTCGGCACAAGTGACGCTGACTCCCATGAAAGTGCAGCAGCCGTCAGGCTGAGGAAGCTGAATGAATCATGCCCGGCACATCTTTTGGGCCACCGGGCGCTTTTCTCGTTCAAGGTCCACACGGACCGCGTGCCCGGCTTCGTGACCAGGTTCTGCGCAAGGCTTGGCTCAACAAGTCAGACCTCTGAAGCTGGCAGAAGTGCGTGCAACAACCATGTGATCTGGCAGAAATTCTGGCAGAAACTTGGCAGAACAAATATAAAACTGTTCTTGGCAGAAATCTGATCTGCACCTCTAAGACATAAATGCTGGCAGAAAATTGCCGGTGGGCAGGGTCCACCAAAGATCACGAATCAAATGTTGCGATGGAGAAGTCCTCTACTCTATTGACCAGGCTGGTGGGAACGGTGGGAATTCCCGGACCCTGAGCACGGGCCCAGCAGTTGCCATTTCTCATACGGAATGGGTGAAAATCCATATGATCTGCTTACATATACAAACGCACACGCGTACATGCGCATACATAATATGTATATGTGGAAGGTAAGCCCACCAACACAACGATTGTCCTGCATACAAATGTACTTCGCAAAGCTTGCATTAACTTAGCTGCCTTTTAGGAAGCGGCATTGACATGGGCAAATGAAACTGCATCAAGTCAATATCCCTATGGTTGCAAAGGAACGTAACATGCTCACACTCGCATTTCCATGGCGATGCTCGTCTTTCGGTCCCCAGTCGCTGTCAATCTTGAAACGATGTTCTCGTCCTCGCACCTCGACTACTGGGCTGCCCGTTTTCGGATCCCCTGCTAAAAGTGACTTATAACTTTTAGTGGGTTAATTTCGGAAACTACCACTAAACACCAAAAGCCTAAAGGCTAAGGAACCGGACAGCTGGGGGCCACCAAGTCTAGCGAGCTAGCAAAGACAACAAACTGCACAACAAGTCTTGGCGATATGGGGGGGTCCTCACCCCCTCTCCGCTGAAACAAACTGATAGGCAGTGCAGCGCTTCGCTGAGGACGAGTTACTGCAGTCGAGTTGGACAGCCTGAGTCACAACGCCCCTTTGCGCTTTGTCAATCTCCTGCTGAAACACTAGGCCCTTTCGCGCATATGGGATGTGATTTATAAGTAATCTAAGTAGAGCTCTTAAAATTTGGCGCTTGTGCGGGTGACTGAGACAACTACGCCCGGCTTCTGAGCAGCTCACCCGATTTGGTGGTTGCACGTGTGGAACGGCCTTTCTTTTACGATCTCTAGCCGCCAGAAAGGTTTCTTGTCACCCTCTGTCACAGCCACAAAAGGCCCATCGAACGCAAGCATGCGTGATGTTGATGCGCTGCAAAAAGCCGCAAAGCATGTCATGTTGAAAGCGCGTGACGTTTGCCGGAAAGTATGGAAGCTCTGTTGGCAACGGGACCCTGGAACATTGTAATTGTATCTCTGACATGACTTCTGAGTGCGACAATGCTGCTGGACCCTTGTTTGATTTCCTGCCCTTGCGGGGAACACTACGTAGTCCAAACCTTCTCGAAGCCTTGACTACGGAGTCCAGCTTTTGTTGAACAGCGTCTCACAGCAAGTGAAAAGGCATTGTGCCTATTATCTTGCATACCTTCACGTCAATGATTTTCCTTCTTGAACAAACAGAGTTCTATTTTCAGGTAAGCATTCGGTGGCAAGCAATTCTTACGCCGAGGTGCTTTTCTGACAGGGCTTGCGAGGCCTCATGCCATGTCAATGTGTTCCTTACGAGGGGGGGGCGGGGGGGGGGGGCATATTAGGGTATGGCTCAAAAAATTACAGAGCCGGGGTTACGCGGGTTTTGGTCTTTGGTTCCACTTCCCAGGGCTACCCATTTTGGAATTCCGGATTTTTTGGAGCCACGGCCATATGACTATGACCCCTTCAGTTTCAAAGCGAACTGGTTTTGAACATCTGGCCCCCCAGATCCTGCGATCAAGTTCCCCGCCTGCGTCAGGAAGTCCAAGGCCTGGCAAGAAGCGAGCCAGCCGTGGCCCCAAAAAGAAATCCAGGTGGGAGATGGTGGGAGGAGCTTGGGTGTCAGGTCTTGGGACAAAGGTTCAACCCCAGAGCTAAAACATGATCCAATTGCCCAGAAAACCCAACCCGCCCAACCAAGGCAGGGAGTGGCCCAATTGGTGATTGGCAAGCCGTGACTTAAATCACCCGCTCATTCGGCTGGCCATTTTTGTTCACTTCTTTCTTAACTTGGCGATTTGCAGCTTCATCTCAACAATCCCCAAATAACCACAATATTTCAGACCAACAAGAATCAACGATCCCCAGGGAACCACATATTTCAGACCAACAAGAACCCCCTTCATCTCAACGATCCCCAGGGAACCAAATATTTCACACCAACAAGAACCCCCTTCATCTCAGCAATCCCCAGGTAACCAAATATTTCAGACCAAGAACCCCCTTCATCTCAACAATCCCCAGGTAATGTTAGCACCCGATTCATCATGTGACGGTGAAAAATTGAAAGTTGTTTTCCTTATTCTGGTTCGCCCCCATTATTGAGGGGTACCAGAATAACTGAAAGTTAAATTCCAAAAAAAAACACAAACCAATTTTAGTTTGAAAAACCATTCAATTGGTGCCCACTTGCTTAAAAGCATTCCCCTTTCAATTGGTGGCCCACTTGCTTAAAAACATTCCCCTTTGAATTGGTTGCTCAAACACACAACCCAAAGCCAGCTGAAACCTCTGAAATTTGAAAACCATCCCCAGCCCTGAAACTGCCAATTCTTTATTAAACCGTGTAAGAAAAAAAAAAAACAATCAGGACAAGGGTACCCCTCACAGACTCCACTCAACC